TTAATATTTAAATTACCAGCTTTTTTAAGTATTTAGTATAATTAATTTATTAATAAATATTTAAAGTAATAATAAAATCTCTTTATTTCTATTTTTAAAAGGAAATATATAATATTAATAATTTAATTTAAGAAAAACCATAAGTAATCCTATTTTTTAAGTATTAATATAATAATTGCATTATTAAAGAAAATTATTTTATTTATAATGTTATTATAATATATTTAAAGCTTATTTATATTTATTAAGTAAAGCAAGAATAGGGTTTATATTTAAATAATATAAAAATTAATATAATTAACTAAGATAAAAACTTTAATTATATTAAGTAAATTAATAATTATTATATTATTAAATTTAACTTTAGCTTTTTTTATAATAATTATATTAATTTAATACTTTAAGTTTTCTTATTATAATATAAAGAATTGCTTATATTTAGCTATAAATATTAATAATGCTTTTATATTTAACAAGATTCCTTAAAAATAAGTTTAATTATATTTATTCTTTAAAATAAATTAACTAGCTATAATAATTATTTTTATTTAAAAGATATTATTTCTTATAATTTAATATATAAATACTTTATTAGCTATGAAATTAATATTTATATAATAAACTTTCTTATTTAATTCTACCTTTATAATATAAATATTGCTATTATAATTATTATTTTAATCCTATTTATCTTTATATTTATAAAATTTATCTTTATTATTTATTTTATATCCCTTAAACTTACTTAAAAAAGTATTAAAGTTATTATTATAACCTTTATATTTATATTATATTAAGTAGCTTTTTCTTGCTAAACATTGCTTATTAATTAAATATTTAGTTAATTAATACCTTTTTTTTTTATAAATATAATATTTTTTCTTTTAAAGTTATCCTTCTTTTCCTTCTTTATAAGCATTATTACTTTAAGCTTTATAATTAATATTATAAGATCTTAGCTGCTTAAAGCTTAAATAACTTAAGTTTAATTAATTAAATTTTTAATTTCCTTAAAATATTTAAAATTATAATTATCATTCTCTTCTTAGCTTTTAATTATTATACTTATAATTAATATAATATTAATTTAAGACTTTATTTATAATATAAATTATAATTATGTAATTAAGTTATATTTTTATTATAAATCTTAAATTTAAAAATAATTCTTTATATAATTAAGTTAACTTAAAAAGAGCTATTTTTAGCTTAAGCATTTCTTTATAAGTTTTAATTATTATTATTTTTAAGTTATTTTTCTTAATATAATTTTAGCTTAATGCTTATTAATAAAGTTATAGCTTATTAAGCATTAAATATAAAACTTTATATAAAGTTTTATTTAAGTTTTATATATTCTTGTTTTTATAAATATTATTATTATTTAATTTATATAATAATGCTAATAATTAAGGTTTATATTAAAATATATTTTAATTTTAAGGTATATTATTATAAATATATTAATTTAATTTATAAAATAAAGGTAATAAGCTTTAACTTGATTTTTAAGCATTTAAGGAAAAATTATATAAAATTAACTTAGCTAAATTTTAATATAATAATAAATATTAAAAAATATCTTTATTTTATTATTTAGCAAATTATATAAGTTTTTAATATACTTATAAAAGTTATTAAAAGTTTTTATAAATTATATTAACTTTATTAAATTTAAGTATTTATTAAAAATATATTATAAGGAAAAAGTTTTATATAAGTTATACTTTTTATTTAATAAAGATATTTTTAAAATAACCTAAGATTATGTTAAATATAATATATATTTTTAATATAAGCTTTATTTTTATCTTTTTATTAATAATAATAAGCTTTGCTAATTATATTAGTTTTTAATAAATTGCATTATTAAGTTTAAGTTTTATAATTATATGCTTAAAGTTAATAGCAATAATAAAAATTATTTTAAGGATTGCCTTTTTAATAATTATTATTATTTAAAGCTTATTTATAGTTTTTATAAGGGCTATGCTTATAATTATTATTTTTAAAGTTATATATAATATTTATTTATGCTTAATTTTAAGGCTAATAAGGTATTATAAAGCTTATTATTAATTTATTTTAATCTTTTCTTTGCTTAAGTTATAATAATTAATTATAATGCTATAAGTTAATTATTATATTTTATATAAATATTTTATATTTAAAGGAAAACTTTTAAGCATTATTAGTAAGGATTTAGCAATACTTTAAATATTACCTATATTTATATTATATAGTTTTTATAATAAATAATGAAAAGGTTGTTATTATAAAGGTTTTATTATATATAGCTTATTAAAGTATTTGCTAAATAAATAATTAAGTATTTTATTAATGCTTTTTATATAGGGGTTATAAATTATAATTTTAAATTAATATATTTATAATAAGCTAAGTTAATTAAAGTTTAAGTAAGCATTTTATTAATTATATACTTTTTGTTACGGTTTGGGCTTTGCTTATTGTAATTAATTAGTGGGCTTTAGTCTTATAAGAATAGGCTTTAGCGCGGGTATAAACGGGGAGTAAACCTTCTCCTTTATACTTTAAATAAAAACCCTATTTAAATACCTTATGGCAAATAACCTAAGGCTAGCTTATAATATATATTTAAAGTCTTTTTGCATTATAGGCTTATAATACAACTATATAAAACCTGGTATAGCGAAACTTAAAAAGAATGATAATAGCTTATTAAGCCCTTCCCTATTTAAAGGAACTTTTATCTTAAGAATACTTAGTAACTTAGCTAGTAAAAATAAGGGCTAAATTTATAATAAATAGGAAGGTAATTAATATTAAAGGGGCTTAATTTCTTTATATATTTAATTAGCTAAGAACTTTTTATAATTAATTTTTACCTTATATTAATTTTATAAAAATATTTAAGAAATAGCTAAAAAGCTTTTTAAAGAAGGTTTGCTTTGCGCTTAGGGACCTTTTTAAGCAAAGGTATATTAAGCTTAGCTTGGTTGCATTATAGCAGCATTATAAGGAGGGAATGGTAAAATTTCTTACTTAATTTAATTAATTAGCTTATATAATAAAGGCTTAAAGTTAGCTAAATAAATATAAAATATTATTAATAATTAATGGCTTAACTTTTATAATAAAAGCTTAACTTAATTATAAGGAATAGCTAAATATATTTAAAGCTTTTTGCTTTGCCTTATAGTAATATAAGGGCGTTTTTAACGCTATAGCAAGAAAGAATAATACTTAACCCTAAAATGGCGAAGTAATGAATATTAATATTATAGCGGTTTTAATAAGTAAAGTTAAGTATTTTATATATAGTTAACTTAGTTATTATAAGTATAACTATCTTAATTACTATAAGAAAATAAGGGTATAGCTTTTATTAATTAAGGCTAGCAAGGAAAAGAAGTTTATTTAAAGGGGTATAAAATTTTTTTTAATAAGGTAGGGCTTAGAAGCGATATTAGCTTAGCGCTGGCTTAGGCTTAAAGTAGATTAGCTGCATATTAGCTAGTTTAGCGTTATGGAAACGCTTAAAACTTAGGAAATTCCTGCTAATAAAGCAAATTACTTATAATTAAGTGCTAATTAATTGCGAATTATATAATAAATCTATGGTTTTAAGGTTTTAGGTAAGGAAGCTTATATAAAAGGCTTATATTAAAGGATTATAAAAATGCTGTTAATTTAGCCATTAGCTTATGCTTAAATAATTATCTCTTATTAGCTTACTTTAGCTAATATATTGAATTATAAGAGCTAAGGCGTATTAATTATAAATAATGGGCTAGGCCTTTGGCATAATTAAGAGGCATTAAGATGTAATTAAATGGCTAAATAAAGAGTAATGTTTAATTTGCAATTAAATTATAGTATCCTTTATTTTTTTATTATATAGCTGCTCTTTAAGGCTTGCTATAAAAACTTAGAGAAGAAAGATATATTATGGTTTAGGCTTTGCTTATTATAATTAATTAGTGGGCTTTGGCCCTATAAGAATAGGCTCCGGCGCGGGTGTAGATGGGGAGTGAACCTTCTTCTCTGTACTTTAAATAGAAACTTTATTTGAACACCTTACGGCAAACGACCCAAGGCTAGCCCATAACACTTTTTAATAAAAGCTAATAGCTTTTTAGCATTATTAGCTATGCTTATAAATTTTTATAGCAAATATTATAAGGAATAAGATTAATAAAATAAAGAAATATTAATAAAATAGGTAATGTTTAAAAGTAAGTTAATAATAATAATTTAATAATAAGCAAGTTATAATTATTAAGAGGAAGAAGTTATTAATTCCTTTAGGCTTTAAAAGCTAGGGCTTTTTCTTATTATTAAATCCTTTTATATTAGCTAAAAGCGTAATGCATAACTTGCATTTACTTATAATATAGCATTACATTAATTCCAGCATTTATAATAATTGCAAGCTTTATTTATTAATAAAACAAAGCTTTATTAAGTTTTGCTAAGTTTTAAAAAAAAGTTAAAAATAAGTTTATTTTTAATAAAGTCTTATATATAATAAATATATATTTCCTAAATAGCGATAAATATATATATAAATATTATAAGAAATATTACTTAATTTATTTAATCTTTATAATATTTATTTAGGAAGTTTAATAATATAAAAAGGCTTAAAGAAGCAGTTATTACTATATAGCGCTTATTAATAAAGAGGATATAATTTTTAAGTTAAGGAAATCCTTATAAGGTTGCCTCTTTTATCTTATTAATTTATAATGCTTATAATTACTAATTAATATTAGTAGGTTTCTTATATATATAATAATTATATGGGAAGCAATTATGTATTGGTATTGTTCTGTTTAAGTTCTGAGAGGCTACGTGCTCCGGAGGGGATAACTAAAGTAGCCTTCTAAGTGCGAGGGTCGTACTTGCCAACAGTGCTAAACAAACACCAGGTCGTCGATGGTGTTCCTGCATATTCAATAATTTTCGACAAGCATGACTTCGATGCTACAAAACGATACTTGGATACAATCACAGATATGCGGTGTAGGTTTGGGAGATAATGAGCTGTGCTCGATGCAGCTAGCACAACTACGCTGACGGGAGCAGTCCAACCAGGTGATCTTGTTCAGCTGAGCTTGACGATCAGTCTTGATGGTACTGAGGGCACCATGTTCGTGAAAACCCCCCTTCCCATGGGTAATGCACTATATTCGTGTCGCTGTTGGGAACACACCAAGTGCTATGTACCTCCGGACGACTGACTGGATTACTGCACGCAAAGGACCGCACGGAACTTGAACAACGGCCAATCAAAGACCGCCACTCTGTCGAACAACAGCTTCACCTGTCGCTCATTTGCCGCATGGATGTTTGACGCTTGGTCGCAGGCAGACCTCACTGGCCTGGAGATGCAATTTGACAGCTGCGTGTACTCGCGGAACGGAGGCGCACCGATTGCAGGCATCAGCAGCTCCACTTTGGTTAATGAGAGCTGTACTGTTAAGAGAGAGGGAAATGACGGTCTCTTTATCAGCAATTGATGCTGAGGCTCAGCATCCCCTTGAAGAGACATCGGGGGCGAAGAAGTGATAATGTATTGTTAGTCGGCTCACTCTGAGGAAAGAGTTGTAATACATTTGATAACATGCATTATGACTCTCGGATATAAGTCGTATCACAGAGGCTAGGACACAGAATGCAATACAGCACATATAATGATTGAGTTGATACTCAATTATTAATCCCTCTCGTGCCAGCCCCTGCTACTTTACCTAGGTATTTAGTCACGCAGGGAGAGATCCCGCTTCCCCCAGAACAGGAAACAAGGAGAGAGAAAGTCAGGAACTCAATCGAGGAATCGAGAGGCTTAAAGAGAGTGTTCGAGACAAATCCTGTTGACAGCAAGGAGACACAGCCAACAAACAAATTACGGCGTAAACCCTGACATGGGCCCCAGGCAAGAAACAGTATCCCTCGGGGGCATTGCGTTGTTACCACCATCGCTGTTTTGACCACAACTAAGCCTGGAACAGTGATGCAAAAAGGATCGACGCCGGCATGATTCGAACATGCGCCTCCGAAGAGAATAGATGGCCAGAAGTACCGGGAGTATTTCTAGTCTATCGCATTAGACCACTCTGCCACGGCGCCTAGTGATGAAGAGTGGCTTACCGGGGAATTCAAGATTGTGTGCGCAGAAAGGCGGTGTGGATGGAGACCAATTTAGACTGGTTGTGGATGGGCAAATTGCTGTCATGCAGATGACTACACTGATTGGTTCAGTAGTGCATGAAATGGGGGTGGGTGGAGCTTACTTGGTTCCCGGCGGGGGGGGGGGGGGGGGGGGCGGCCAGCAGGTTAACGAGGCAATGGTGGATGTCGTGACTGCAGCTGTGAACGGCTTGTAACAAACCTACGAAACAGAAATATATCGTTGGGGGTTGGGGGAGGGGGGTCATGCAAAAGCTTCTGGTTACATGTCCAACAACAATGGCCGCATCTTTGGAGTTGTTTGCCAGCCCAACTTCAGTACACAACACATGCGCGCCCCGTCATGCTAGTACGAGGGCAGCCTCCATGTGAGAACCGGGTACTCGTTACAGAGAGACCAGTATCATTAGCGAGTTGAAATTGTAAAATTTTTTATGTGAGGTTTAAAGCTGATAGATGGAAAGCGATAGGAATTCCAGTGATAGTGTTTTGGGCATGATTGAAAAAGAGGCCTTTGGTGAGATTAAACTATTGTTCGCGGCCGGGACTCTCGAGACGAGAGGAAATGCTACCATCTACACCAATAACTAGCAGCGGTCTGTCTCGGAATTATTTTGTATTACTCAGAACTGAATTTGGGCCGTATTGAGTTCAAATGGTTATACACGTATTGAATGCATCACTCACTGAGCGGAGAGCCGAAGTTCCGAGATTGTAAACTTTATACGAAAGCTTCCAACCCTCATGTAACACGCATGATAACCCTGACAAGCCGGATTGGTCTCCTGTCCAATTAACTTGGGATTACCCTTGACGAAGCCTAATACTGTCGGTAACTTTCGTCAGCTGTATGACAGCATCCAACAGATTTGGTTCCCGATGGAGCATGAAATCTCATAATTCGGAATTAAAACGCCCCGATGTCGAAGTCGGGGAGACTACCATATATCCGAGGTATCAAGTATAAAGTTAAGAGCAGCTGCATCCTAATCTCAAGCTACAGCATGATCTCACCAAGTCCGTGGCAAGTCACATCCGCTGCTCACCATGGAGCCCCATTCGCCGTCAGATGTCGTCACCGTCGACGTCTTGCTTCGACGATTGGCGAAGACTGTCCCAGAGAAGGTGATGATCTCCTACCCAGAACACGAGCTCGATTTCATAGACTACACAGCCAAGGACTTGGATCGCCTGACGAGGAGTGCAATAAGCACGTACCCGAAGTCTCTCAGAGAGTCTGCACAGAATGCAAAGCCCGGCGAAGCGCCCGCAGTCGCCATCGTCGGAGTCTCCAGCCTCGAATACTACATCCATCTCTTTGCGCTCAGTCGGATGGGCCTGACAACTGTGGTCTTGTCACCACGGCTGTCCGACGAAGCTTTAGCACACCTCATCCGGCTTCAACGTTGTATGGCAGTGTTCGCATCTGGCCCTTCCATGCGAGCCATAGGGAGAGTGCAAGCTACCAGTGAAGACCCGCTGGAATTCGATCTCCTTCCCATGGCACAAATGGCGGACCTCGAAGCTATTTCACGTCGTGGAGCCCCCATCGACCTCCCCGCGGTTGAATACAAGGACGAAGCCGACACGCCCTTGTTCGTTATCCACAGCGGAGGCACAACAGGCCTGCCAAAGCCTGTCGTCCGCCGCGTGGGTCAGGTGCTCAGGCATATGGGAAGACACATTTCCGAGACCGTTCCAGATATACTGGCGACGCTTCCCGTTTTCCATAGTTTCGGCTTCGGCCACTTCATTGCCACACTCTGGGGGACGTTCAGGATGAGCCTTCTCAACGCCTCCCGCCCTATGACCGCGTCAGTCATCCTGAAAGCACTAGACATCACGAGTTGCAAGGCTCTCGCGACGGTACCGCACCTGCTCAAGTTCATCAATGAGACTCCAGGGGGTGCAGAGAGGCTTGCTCAGCTGCAGCGCGTCTCCGCAGCGGGCGCAGCCACGCCCGAGGTGCTGGGAAACGAGTTGGTTGAGAAGGGTGTGAACCTGATCTCTCCATACGGGCAATCAGAGAGCGGTCCTCTGATGGCTAATTGCCCGGGGAGGGACTGGATCTGGCTTGCGGCCACGCCGATTGCAGAGCCCTATCTGAAATTCGAACCATACGGAGAAGATGATCAAGGTCTGCTGCACCTGATTGTGCTCCCTGGATTGCCGAGCTTGGTGGCGTCCAACAGACCTGATGGATCGTACGCAACCAAGGATCTCTTTGTGCGCCACCCTACAGATCCCAAGAAGTGGAAGTTTTCCCACAGAGCCGACGACATAATCGTGCTGGTGAATGGCCTGAAAGCGGATCCACATCTACTAGAGGAAGCCGTGGAGAAGAACCGCTACGTGGATACCGCAATGGCCTTTGGTGCAGGGCGGGACTCCCTCGGCTTGATAGTGGTTCCGTCGGCCAGCTCAGCAGGGTTGTCCGAGGAAGAGCTGTCTGCTCGCATTGCTCCTGACCTCGAACTGGGCAACTCCAGAGTCTCTGCCTATGCGCGAGTCTCCCTCGATTCCGTCATCTTCAGGGAAGCCGGCAGTGGAGTCCCGAGAACGGCCAAGGACACCTTGATACGCTCGAGATTTCTCGAACTGTGCAAAGAGGACATCGACGCCCATTACGCCGCAAGGGAGGCGCAAAGCAACGCACAGATATCTGTCGCAGATGACGAGGTCGAGGGCATCGTGCGCGAAGTCGTGAGCTCGGTGATGTCAGCTGGAGACGTCGAACTGGGCCCCGACACCGACTTCTTCGGCCTGGGCATGGACTCGTTGCAGGCCTCGTACGTGCGCTCGCGGCTACTCAGGCGTGTGAACGTTGGCGGACGTCCCCTGCCGACCAATGTCGTCTTTGAGAATCCCACCGTGGGCCAGCTCACCGAATACCTACTCGCGGTGAGAAACGGACAAGATTCTAAAGATGCTAAGGATTCTGAAAAATCCATCGCGCATGAACTTGTGCAGAAATACACCCATTTCCACCGCTTCGAAGATCGAACCATTCAGGCTGGCTCTGGGCGCGTTGTTGTAAGTTGCCACAATTGGAAGTTTTCTCTGTGGCATCAATGCTGAAACCTCTAGCTGCTCACCGGGGCGACCGGTGTCATTGGCCGCCATGTGGTCCATCGTCTCATGTCATGGCCCAACGTGGATCGAGTCTACTGCCTTGTCCGAGCGGACTCGGATGAGGCGGCAGGCTTGCGCATCACTGAGTCCCTTGGCGCGGCTCGTCTGGAATTGGCAGATGTCGAAACAAGATTGAAAATTGTCGCCCTTGCCTCTGACCTGGGAAAGCCTCGTCTCGGTCTCAACGACCAACAGTACGAAGCATTGCGCACCTCGGTCACAGACATCATTCATGGTGCATGGGCTGTGAACTTCAACCTGTCGTTGTCATCATTCGAGGACCCATGCATTGCCTCGGTCTCGCACCTGTTGGACCTGGCGATTTGCTCCCCCCTGTGTCCGAAGCCAAGGTTCTCATTCATCTCCAGCATGGCCACTGTCTTCTTCGCTGCGGCCCAAGATGGAGTCAAGGAGGTCAGGTACGGACGAGAAGCCGCAGTCCAAATGGGTTACGGACAGTCGAAATGGGTCGCAGAAGAGATCTGCTCCGCAGCGGCCAAGTATGCTGAGCAGAAGGGCGTGGATTTCCCAGTCCAGATACTCCGCGTGGGCCAGGTTGTCGGTGATACGAAACACGGCATATGGAACCCCAAAGAGGCAATTCCATTGACCGTACAGACCGCCTTGAGCACCGGCGCGCTTCCCGTCAGGGATGGAGGCGACGAGAATTTCTGGCTGCCGGTTGACATAGCTGCGGCTGCCATCGTCGAGCTTGCCTTCCGCAGTCGATCCGACGACGAGGGTGGAGAAGCCCGAGTGTTCCATGTTTCGAACACGACTCCGGTACGCTGGGCCGCGGACTTCCTACCTGCCCTAGCCAGCAGCAATCTCTATTTCGAGGCCGTCCCACCGCAGGAGTGGTTGCAACGACTGGAAAGCGCAGTCCCAGACCATCGACTGCTTCAGTTCTTCAAGAGGACGTACGCTGCCGCTCGTGACGAACAGGCGCCCAAACGTGCAGAAGGCGCAGTGGATATGTCTGAAGCCCGGAAGTATTCTAGCGCTTTGAGGAATGTTACGAAAATTGACGAGGAGCTGGTTGGCAAATTCTTGAATTACTGGCTAGGGCTGGAGGCGTGGAAGTCCATCCAGAAAACCCCAGACACCGGTCAAGCCAGTGCACTGCTGGGAGGACGGAAAGATAGTGGGGTTGGCATGGGCAAGATTTAGTTATTCACTTCAATGCTGAGAAGGAGGAGGAAGTTGTATGTCTCACTGCTGCAGATATCGGAAGAGCTCTATTAGAGTTTCGTTACAGTTTTATCATACAAAGTGGTGCGACTTGTCTTCACCTGAGGACCGACCTGTTCCAGACCCCGAACAAATATGGTACAGAGTATTAATACGCAACAAAGTGTAGCGAAGGCAGGAAGTCATGTCCACCCGTCGCGGGGTCGTTCACAGACCGAAATGTCCACTCAAGCAAAAGCCAATCATCCTCAAACGGCAACTGAGTAATTACCTTCTAGGTCCAGCAAATCACCTCCAATCAGGTGACTACAGCAATATCAGCCGTCGCGAGCCAGGCAAGTGTACTCATACCAGCACCTGATTACTTCTCGGCCTTCAACTCTGATAAAACCAAGGGCATGGCCTCAGGCAATGATTGGTTTTCTTTTCCTCTGGTCGCAGTAGTTCTCTCCGGGGTCTCCCGGCCATCTCTGTCTTCCATGCAGCTCGGCTCTTGACGAGCGTCCTGCTGCTCGAAAATGAGGCTGTCCTTGGTAGGGCCAACTCCGTCGCCGATATGATTCTGGTGCTCGGAAGACCGGTCCCGCTTGCTCTCCCGCATCTTCGCCTGGATGCTAGCTCTGAGCGGCTCCCGGATGCTCTGCATCATCCATTCGACTCCCCCGCAGCCGTTGGTGCTCCCCGGTGTCTTATCATCCCCGACGTATCTGTGGATCTCATCCGCTGCGATCCAAAGCTTGTCAGAGTGTCCGGCGAGAAGGTGGAGTGCTACGATTCCAAAGCCGGGAGGCATGTCCTCGCCGTCGAGCAACTCGCGATGTGTGGACCGCAATTCCATTTCTAGCTTCAAGAGGACGCTTGTACACTCAATGTTGAGGCAGATGTATGGGAACGAAATCAGGAGCACTTCCTGGTCAAGTCCCAAGCTGAGGTCAGCAAGCAGCTGGGCGACCGACTTGGGCCTTCCGGCGCCGGGGCGAGATGTCTTTGAGTGTGCGGTCCTGCTGTACTTGTCCGTCCCACCACCCTTGTAGGCTGCCGCACGCTCCGTGATGGCTTGCAGATCTTCCTCGTTCAGTTCGTACCGGTCACCAGCTCTGCAGAACCTGTCTTCAAACATCAACGAGACCGGGCCAAGTTTCCGCAAGACCTTGCCTTGGCTGTTCTTACGGGACTTGAGCTGTTCTTCGGCCAATTTTCGACCCCGTCTCCCCTTTCGGTCCCGACAATCCGGCGCAGTGTAAGCTAATGACATTGCTCCGACTGCAAACAAGAACGCCTTGCCGAAGCCGTTCTCCGTTTCCTTCCCTGGTGGTTTTCCTGACATGAAGAGGTTGGGGCCCTGCAGTTCTGTCATGCAGTGTTCCAAGTCAAACCAGCTACCCTTGATGAGGTTGTGGCTGGAACAGGCATTATGGAAATGCGCCATCTTCATTATGGATCGAGTACAAGTCTCGACAGCAATCCCGTATTCTTGCATCATCAACCGCGCCGTGTGCAGTAGGATACCGCAGAGGATGGGATGCTGGCTCATCAGGTAGCACTTGTTCAGGTTTGGGTAGCCAGTGTGCCCCATCTCCTGCATCTCCTCGTCCAGTCGCTCGGGGAGCAAGCATGTGAGCACAGTGTATCCCTGTTGGGCTGCCTTCACAGGATCGTCGATCTTACCGCCGACATCTTGTCTTGATTTCACGCCCAAAGCAGTCGTGTAAAGATCTTCGGCCTTCTGAAAAAGCCCGAGTCCGCCGCCGAGGAAATATTTCAGAGCCTGAAGCGGCCGTGACTTGGTGCTTTCTCCAAGCATCTCCTTTACTTCCCAGAATATCTGGACACCGAATACGGCCCAGAGCTTGATGTCGACGTCTTCGTTCACTATAGAGCCCGGAGTCAGCTCTCAAAGAACCAAAGAAGGCGCTTCATTTGAGTCAACGGTAAACAAATCCAGCCACGCGCGAGCTGTGCTTGACCACATTATTGACACAAGGCTGGAATTTGGAAGTTCAATGCCAAATCTTTTTCCCAGGGCGAGACTTACTGATGCGAAAGCCTCGAGAAACTTCGTCGAGGAAAGGAAATACGGGACCGACGCCGTAGTTGCCCACGAAGGAGAGTTCATACAGCCACTGAATATCCTTGCCGCGGCAAGTCCGCACTTGTTCGAGCAATTTGGCGTCATCCGGGCGCGCGCCGTGACCCAAACGCACTGGCTCATGACCAGGAGGTCTCGTGTATGCTGGATTTGTCTTGGTAAAGAACTCCATGCAGTACAATTGCACCAGTGTGTAAGCCCATCGAAAGCTCTGAGAGTCAGAAAGCCATTCTTCCATTTTTTGGTCATCCACTTTGGCGGCGCCGCGTGCATCGAAGTCCGGAGGGTGGCTTGCTTGGCTGTCGGTGTCTGTTCCTAGGAGCGGTGCGTAGATGTTTGTTCCGCGAGTCTTGCCGTTGATGTCCTTGACCCAGGTGCCCAAAGAGTACCAGTAAACTGGCAGTCGAGTCTCCTTGGCGTCGAGACTCTTGGTATAGGACTCGATGACGGGTCTAGCTTGGTTCTCAAGAGAACGGACAAGGTCGATGGCAGTGTTGGTGGTAATCGCGGCAGCTGCCAGGTCGACAGTCCCATTTCTCCAGCCGGCCCATTGTTCCAACACCGCCCGTCTTATCGACATCATGTCATCTCGCAGAGACCCAAGTGCAAGCCAGGCTTCGTCACGAGAGGCTTCAGGGTAAGCTGCAAACACCTGAGAAGAAGCTACATTTGTTGCTCGATGGTCAGCAATTTACCATACCAGAGCCTTGATCAGACCAGATGTCAAGGACTCTGAACGTTCTAGTACTTACCAAGAGAAGTTCTCCAGGCATCAGCCTTCTCCACATCATCGGCTTCAATCGCAGGGCTTGATTCGCCAGCATCGCCATTCGAGCAAGGGGAGCCCTCGGGAGTCTTCATCCTCAGCTCAGCAAAAATGTTGGCCGCGTTTATGGCGTTGACATTGCCAGAGATCTCACCAAGTACTTTCTTGCTGGGTGTCTTGGGTTGGGCCCCGCTCTGAGTGGTCGCCATTTGTGCCGTGTACTTTGGGAGCAAGATGGAGCGTACACGCCCTAGCACATTGATTGGGTGAATGTGACCGTCCTGCTGGCCCTTGGCAAGGAAAGTCCTCACGTCCTCGCCGTTTATGTGCCGAAAACAGTCCTCGCGATCGCTAATGATTTTGTCGATGACCGTGACAATCCATTTGGGAATCCTTCCGTGCACACTGTGTGACTTGGCAATGATTTCGGCCAGGGGGATGTAACTGCTCAGTGCGAGCTTGGGGGTTCTCTGGCGCGTCGACTCGTCGATCATGGGACCAGCAGCGCGCTGCTTGGCTAACTTGCGATCTTTGCCCTTGAGCCGGGTCGATTTGGCGTCTGCGGAAGATGCGTTTCCTGGCCTGGTGAGGGTAGTTGGGGCACCACAAAGGTTCCCTGTGACGGCAAGGAAGGTGGCGAGGTCATCTTGATTCGTCTTATACCGACCATATTTGGTCGACAGGATCGTGGGCAACATGGCCGGGCATATCAACGCGAGACAGTGTTGTTGCGAAACGGAGCCTGGAATTATGGCTCAAGGATGTAAGGGTTAATCTGTCGGTGGAGAAAGTGATTGGATGTGACAGACTGCAGTAACAAACAGTGCAAGATCGTGTAGAAGCGAATGGGAAAAGTAAATGATGATCGGGAGGCTAATAACATCAACGCGTTGCGTGTTGCATGTGGCTCCAGAGATTGGCACATAAATCCAACACGGATGGAATAGGGAGAGCAAAGGCTAGGGTGGATTTGGTGGAAATGACGGATGCCCCGAGGCGTGTCGCTGTCTTGTTTTGATGTCAAATGGCGCGCGTCTGGATGCACCAAAAGCGTGTCCTAGGAGTGCAGTCTGATTCTTATCACGCAAGATGAAGAGATGCACCAGCCTACTTCTTCAGATCAAACGTCACCGCAATTTTCCAGATTCCTCAATCTATTCTAGCTAGCGTTACTCCGTATTATTCTCCTCACAGCACTGAGGGGAGGTTTCAAGGAAACTGTGCTGGCACAAAAATGCTACTCAATTTCGAAGCATTGGCAAGGTTGTCATCCAACATCGACCTCTCCGATCTGTTATACCCAAAGCCACAGGCCAACAACTTCTGGAATTAAAAAACTGCCAGGGAGCTCTCAGCTTCAGACCGAAAATCACCGTTTCAGCCGCACAATGGCCATTATTCACCGTCTTGATGCATCAGTCTAGACCGGCCCCGCGTTTCCCTCCTCGATGTCGGCAAGATCGTCCCTGTACTCCTCGTTGAGAGGCGTATATTCAGCCGCCAGTGACTGGAACGGGCTCCGATTCGTGGTGATAATGTGTAAAGCCTCGGCGGCTGCGAAGTAGAAATGTATGCCCCTACATACACTCGAGGTTAACAAAGAGAGCTAGAGGAGACGGCAATAGATCAGGGAGACGAACAAGTTCACCATGAGGAATACCGAGCCATACGTGCCCAGAATAATCAACTCTTCATCCGAAGGCCTGCCCAGGAACACCCAGGTCGGAATCAGGAAAGCAAAATACCAAACAGCAAGGGTTGTATCAGCATAGAAAATGTTTTCTGGCGACAATGCCTGGATTGGTGACCCGAGAGCTGCCACGCGGTCACGATGGAGAAGCAAGGCGCCCAACACGGCCGAGACCGCGAGCGGTAATATTCCAAGGGCCGGAAATGCCCAGCTGCTGCTAACTCCGTGGATGAGAAGGATTAAGAAAGCCGGTACAAACGACAGTATCGTGATACGGCGCAAGAAAACGGTCGAGCTCATGGTGCTGTCGTTCGGATAGGTGGGCATCTTGCTGAAGGCTGAAGAATTATAATTGTTTGATGTCTATGATAAACCTCGATTCTCTGTCACGAAAGTTTCGAGACAGCACAACATTTTAAACGTCTTGGAGTCGAGCGGGAAATGTAATTGTTAATCAAGCTTGGTAGAAGATCGAGCATTGTTTGGATCGGCAGTTGCCTTGTGTAAGTCTGCCTGGAGGATCCGTGACACAGGCTACAGCCACATCGGGATCAGCGAGTTCGTCCCGGTGCTGGAGCACGGGAATCCTTCGTGGCATAGCGGCTGAGTATGGGGGCTTGGCATAGTAAGCACTCAGCCTGCCATGTCTGCATCGGGACGCGCATCCTTGATGGACCCACGTGTGGGGTTTGCGTATTGGGTTCTTAGGGTCGAGAAGCAAACATACCAGTATTTGACACGACCATCTTGAAACAAGAGGAGGCTGAGGTTCGATACTTGTTTGTCTCACTGTTCTGGGAAGGATCACGGCGCCACGATCGGGACAGTATTACAGGAGGCAGATTTGAGACCCCTGTTCCACTCTGACTACGCATTTCACACAGTAAGCAACCAGACAAATAAGACACGTTCAGCTCATAGTACGGGATGAGTATCGATCGTCGGCGGTTGGTCATATTTCACGCAAGCCTTGAACTTGCGCAATAGTAAATATCTCAACGTTGTTTGTTTTCACCTTGGCAGACATGATACGGTAGCAGTTTGTCAGGAGATGATGGGGCTAAAACAAGACCGAGCAGCATGGTCTCAGAGAACGTGGAAGACATTGGTCCTGCGTGGTGTTTCAACCGGCTCTTAGGCACCCTAGCATAATTCCGTACGAACCACTCACCACTCACCACGTGGCCGGTCCAAACGTCTGCCCCTCGTCAACTGTCTTGAGGATAGCAGTGTATTCCGCGTCCTAAAGCAAGATGAATCAGGATAAGGTCTTCATGGGATATAGTGAGAGGAGCTGTGACATACCATCGTGTTATAGACACCAACGTTGCCCCACCACTGGGGGATTGTTGCTCCAGGGAAAGTCTGCAGCAGGCCATGTTAGTTATGAACTTGATATCGCAAGTCGAGTCGACCGACGCCTGGGAGTTGGTGCTTACAATGGCAAAGAAGATGACAATTGTTGAGATGATAAGCCCAGCGTCAAGAGCAGCTGCAGTGACATAGTTGTACTGGCGCCACCAGCCGTGGAATCGTTTCTTGATGAAGTGGTTGAAAATCAACGCGACGATTCCCCAGGTCGAGAAAGACAACGGCGTCGCCGGCGGCAACCAGCCCATCGCTCCTAGCATGACTGGCGCATGGAGGGTGCGGCCGATCCAACTCAGACGGCCGCCATATTTGACAAGGGCGTAGAGAATGCAGGGAAGGATCCCTCCGATCACCCAAAAGACGTTGAAATACTGGTATATGGATCCAGTCCCAAACATCCTGTAAGGGCCGATGACTCCCCAGACGATCGATGATGAGAAGAAGGCACGACCGTTTGGGCAGGAGAATTTGGCTGGTTGGTCACTAGCGAGACGAGTCAGTATGGGGACCCGGGAGTATTATCAGCAAGAGTGGTCCCCTGCCTTGGAGGCAACTCACATATCGCAGACACCTTCGATATTCCCGAGTGTCCAGTTCATGACAGCAATCTGCACAAACGTAGCCCAGGCAGTCGCTACCACTTGACACCAGAAGGTTATCCTGGGCGGGATCTTCATGTAGTGTCCCAGCTTCAAGTCACCGGCGTATGTCTGAGCCTGACCGAGTACGATAGTACTGTAAACCTTGAAGATCATCACGCCAATAGGCTGGCCTGGTATCATAAACCCGGCCAAGAATGGAGACAGAACATTTAGAGCCAGCGCGAGATTCGAAATAGCCAAAATTGTTGTAGACGGGATCATGAAGACGATAGCAAGGATAATGGCCACGAAGAACGCCCACCAGGGCAGCTGAGAGTCGTATCCCAAGGCGGTGGCGAGACCGAGGCCCATCGAGATGGCAAACAGCGCGAGATACCACCAATCAGGGGCGTCCTGGTATTTCTTCATTAGCTTCATGTGGATGTCCGGTTCTTGATTCCTCGCTGCCTTGAGCCGGTACAAGATTTCCTTTCCGTGGAACAGACCGCAGTGCACCAGTGCCGCCGTCAGGGCAGCAAAGGATAAACCATAATTCAGGGCGAACGTGGGTGGGAGGAAGAGTGGTGAGTATTCCTGATACTTCTTCAGGTCGAAAGTGAAGTTGTCTCCCAATATCCTGCTCACGCTGTATTTACTCTGTGTGTTGTCGTAGGTCTGGGATGTGTTGATCGGCAAGTACTGGCTGTAGATAGCACCAGAATACGTGATGCCGATCGTTGCGAGAATGACGAACACGAAGAGCCCCGTGAGCTCAGATATGGCGGTATGCACTGGAGCAAGCAGAGGGTCGCCTAAATATGCGGTAACATATGTCCAGTCGAAGGTGATTGGGATCAAAGAGAGGCCAGTATAGCCACCGAATAATTGGTTAACGACGACATTGTCGGGCTTAACCCAGGTGATGAAGGCAAAGACCGAGAGTCCCTGCCACAACACGGCCGGAATCCACTTGCAAGCCTCCAGTCAGCAACTTCCAAAGGGATTGGGTGGACCAGAGTCTGGGTCTTGGGTCATTGCTTACGTAGTAGCAGAACATGGCGATAAGGACATAGAAAAAGTATCTATAGCGGCTGATGGTCCAACCGTTGCTTTCGGATCCGTCACTTTTGCTCTTGTCGTGCAATGCAAAGAAAAGAGATGTGCTACTGAACTGGTTGGGCCCTGTCTTACTGTCAGAATTGGTGGCGAAGGGTTGCCAGCTCATCAATTAAGACGTAGTTGCGATTCTCAGGAGAAATTTCAGTCTTACATATCATCGCAGCCGGCCAGACGAGGAATCTCCTGGATAATCCTGCCAGACCAATGCCAATGAGCTGAGAGCTTAGTGTGAAAAGAAGCTGGAATCCCCATCCAAGATTGACATCGTAGAATGGCTTGCCCTGAAGTGCCAGCAGAGCATCGGTGCTGTAAGCGTAGCCAATCGAGACGTTTGACATTAGCGTGACAACGACATGTTCCTTGATTGTGAACGGCCCAGTGTTGAAGGTCCACTTCACACCGAATGTGTTGAAGACTCTGGTGGGCACAACCTTCGCCCAGAAACAGCCAAGGGGGTAAGCCAGCAGCTGGACGACCAGGGCCGGAAAGTTGATCGCTGGGCTCCTCATGCTCAAGAACATGTTCAGGCCGCTTCCAATACTGACGAAGAAGAGGCCTAGCACCCAGGCTCGGACTGTGTTAGCGACTCCTCCGGAATCCGTGGGCCGCACCGCTGCTCGGACCTCGTCGTACGGAGAGTCCTCAGTGAAAAGGGCGTCGGCCTCAATGATTTCTCCTGCGTCGCCATCGTGTAGCGCCTTGTTGATGAAGTCGAGTTTCTCCTGCGGCAGGTTTGGGTCGAATTGATGTGCGTGCTTGATCTTCTCGAGATCGGATGTTGCTTGGCTCACGTCGACCGCAGTGGACAAGGCGCCTTCCTTCTCTGGGACAGGAGAGCCAGTTGATTTTGTCGACTCAATGTCAGCCATTCTCACAACTTGAATTGCGACTCGAAATCAGAATTGATAAAGGCCAATGCCAAAGCTAGAAGGTTGTAGACAAAGGACGTCTAGGAACGCTCATATTACCAGCTCGGTGAGATGGGCAGTATAACTTTTGCAGAGGGTTGACGGGAGGTGCTGTTTGTCTTTGGGGCCAGCCGGCGGTTTGTTTGCTTCGATGCGACGTAACATTGTACCCCAACAGATACCTTCTCCTCTTCAAGTTATGACCCGATCTGGCCATGTTGGAGTTGGTAACCGGCGACTTATCTGGATTATACCTCCCATTTCCGGCCATGCCACCCATGGCAAGATAAGGCCACGAGGCACGACTCCACTTTCGGATCGGCAACAGTTGTGCTAAGTTCTTAAGAGCTCCAATGGGCAGACTGCGTTTAAAGGGTGCAATTCTGACCCTCAGCAGATATCAAAACGTAGAGAATCAGAACAAATCAATTATGAACCCCAAAACCCTGGAGCTACACGGCTGTGTTCTTGTGAGAAAGGTCCTGGCTGGTCTACAGTGGGTCGAATCCAACAGTGCGGACCCAGAGCCCTGTGATGCTGGCTTGGCGAATCCGGGGTAATACGCACTACCTTTTCCCGGGTCATGTCTTGGAATGAACAAGTATTGGGGGCTGGATAAGAAGAATTGGCAACGAGTCACTTATTCCATCAGCCACGTCCCCAGGCAAATTCCCTTCACAGGTCCAGCATTCTTGACGCATTACGCGATGGTGTAGGTCGGCTGGAGGCGGCTAATTATTCCAGAGTGACATCCCGGATCCCGGGACAATCGGAGCCGAGTACCAGCAGAGTGAGACCTCGCTTCCCCGAGCCATGACTTTGGAGGCTATACACACTACTTGTCTGATTATGGCAGACTCGTCAGTGCTTACAAGTAAGGCCGTCCCTCTGCCCAGTAGAAAAGGGTTCCACCAGGCGCACAGCAGACTGACCACGTTCCAGTCAGCCGATACTGTTAGCAACACCGCTTTGCCAAGTTCAATGTGATGCACTTAGGCGTCCCCCAAGCCCGAGTTGCTCAGAGCTTCACCCTGGGCAGTCTGTTTCAGTCATTGAATCATCGGGCGGACCCGACCTGGCTTGAGTTTTAGACGCCCTGGATATCCATTGGAACAAGTTCTAAGGGGACTCCTTTCTTTTCTACCAAGTGCCTTCGGTTTTTGTTCCTCACGAATGCAGTCTCCAGAGGAGACTGCTCAAGTGGGTCACGACACGCGGTCACACGAAAGCATCAGTTTGAACGTCACGGCAGTTACTTTTATTCGGCTCCTTGCGCCTCGGCCGGCCCAGAAATACCACGCTAGAAATGATCGATCAATTATCGCCTGGACCTTGACCCACTTGTGCATACTATGAGCAGACCGATCGAGAATTCGTGGAAAGTTTCACCCTGAAATTATCACCCCTCTGTACTGCCTGCAAGTCCTGATTCGCATGCGCTCAGGTGGGTATTTCTCGAAAACTGGACAGGCCTTCGCAAAGCACTCTTACCGGCGTAGACTGCACAGTTCCGTGTGGTAGGAGATCATCATGGCGCCGGATCCAGCAACGATCAAATGGGATTTTGGCCCCCAATAATGCTGTGGCGTAATTCCTGGGTGGCCACACTTCCAAGTATTCACGACGGATTTAGCTGCGCCTTTCTGCAGCATTGCGGCGCTGACCATGTGCGTGACTAGCCCTATTGAGGACCCCGGTCTCGCGACAGGCTGATTGATTGGGTATCAATGAGCAAAAGCAGGCATTTCCATCCTTCAAGATGACTCTCCAAAACATAAAGTCATCGGCACTTCCGTAGGGTCCTTGCGAATTCAGCTCTCATATGCATTTGAGGCGCTCTCCCCAGCAAGCCATAAGGCCAACTGGTCTTTTGAGCCATTGCATCGTCAACCTCAAGAATGTCACTTTGTCTTTGCAAAAGCTCGCTGAAAGATGGCCAAGGGGGAGAAGGGTTCGCATTTCATCCTCTGTATTTCTTCCTTTCCTGCCCGCTTCATCCAACCTCTAGTGAGCGGCTCCAGCAATCCGATATTCGTGGAATAGATTTCGCACCACCTCTTATTCGAGTCTGGTCACTAGATGACTACTTTGACGATGCGATTGATGATACCGACCACGAGCTCTCAGAGCCGCCTTTCGCATCGGATGCAAGCTCAAGCCCCGAGCAGTACGGAAGTCAACCAAAGACACCGGAACCTCTCCTGACCCATCCGGTGAAAGTGGAGGAAACGCCGGTTGATGTTGGATTTGTGAAGGAACGAGAGAGCAATAGCCCAGAAACAGGCTTAACTGAAAAAGCGTCTCATCCGTACTATGCGATGGGTTCACATCCAACAACAGCAACTGACCAGCGGATCATCCCGGATCAGGACGACTGGGAACGATACAAGAGCGTAATTGAGGATCTTTACATGCGACAAAACCTTAACTTGGCCCAGGTCCGGAACGTGATGGAAAGCAATTATGGAATCAGAGCAACGTAAGTCAATGCGGGAAATTCTCCTTTCATTTCTACGTCTAAAACAGAATGCTATGCTAGATCCAAAATGTATAAATACCGCTTCAAGAAATGGAACTGGGCGAAGTACAGTTCAAAAGGACACAGAGCAGCTATCGAGGCTGGCCAGGTTGTCATCCAGCGCGCTGGAAAGTCACGAACCAAGCCTTCCGAGCTCGACAACTTTAGACTGCAAGCTGCGAGAGAGTTACGGAGGGCGCGTCGGCAAGAGCGTGCCCTCGTCTACCCGCTACTGCACCAAAACGACCAGGCGCGTGATTTCAACACGATCCTCCTGATGACAAAGCAGTTCATCGTGGGCGAGACTGAAACGAGCATCGTCTACACTCCGAGCCACCCGACTCTGGACACCACCAGGCGCTTTTCCAGTGGCAGCGGGAGGGATATGTATCAGACGTTTGTGAGCGCTCTGGCAGCCTTCAGCCTTGACGACTTCATGCTTGGCGGCAGGCTGCTGCGCCGGGCCTTCCGCGCGCTCGACAGCGAGATAGGCCATCTCGGACTCATCCGATCCGTCGAGTATTGTTTCAGTATCCCCTACCTCTTCGTATCGTACGGGCGCAACGACCTGGCCACGCTGCTGCTCAAGTACATGGCGCCAAGGCTGCAGATGATCCCGAAGAGGCACCCGCTGGCGATTATCTGTGGGCCCCTGCTGAGCGTCATCCAGACCTCGAGGGAGCCCAGCCGGGACTCCCTGGATCGTGTGCTGCAGCTCGGCGCCGACACATTTGCCGAGGCGCACTCAGACGACCCCCGCGCCGTGCTTTACTTTCGGGCCAGGTTCTGCGCCATCGACGCCCAGCCCGCCGAGGATATATTCGTGGACTACCAGGGCCTCGTGGCGGAGTACGCGGCGCGGTTCGGCGGGATGCACCCCGGGACGCTCAGCACCGAGCGGGAGATGTTGGATTTCGGGGCAAGATACAGGATTAAGCCGGCAGTGACAAAGGAGCTGTGCGAGCTCGCGATCTCCAAAATCGAGGACTACTATGCAGAACGCAATCTAGCTACCCAGAGGTGGAGCCATTCCCACCAGAAGCTCTGGATGGACCTCGAGTGTCTGCTGACCGAGGTCGTTGCGACGGGTGGCGACCTCCCGCAGGCTATCAAGATGTCTCGTGATATATACGACTTTGTGGCCAACACGAGCGGCTGCTTGCCCTCGAATAGATGGTATGCAATTAATTCTTTCCAAATATGGCTCGAGATGATGCTGTATTCCATTGGGCAGGTGGAGGTCGGCGACGAAATGAAAAGTAGTCGCCTGAGTTCGGAGCAGTATCTTGTGCTAGACAAGGAATCTATCGACGAAGAGGAAGATTTCTTGAATAGTCATAATTGAGCCTACTAAGCAGTAGAAGCCACTGGGGCGGTCTAAATGTGTTTAACTGGAAACCGAATCGTAGTTGTGCCGTGGCTGGGCTTGTGTGATAGTCTCAGAACGCCCTGCATGTCATGATAAAACTCAGCCCAGCTCTTCTTGACCCGCTTGACCCTGAACACCCTACTTCTTGAAATGAATGCAATCTTGAAAAGAGCTGGCAAACAGTCGATTTCAAGCGGCCACTGTGGGGGCCTGGTTGGATATGAACTGTGTCATATCGTCAGCGCGCTGAGCCTCTCAAATTGCCACGAGAAATTAAAAGATGGATGGTGTTTACCTTGGAGAAGACCTCGGCCTGTTTGATCCCCATAGCTTCCGACATGCCCATCAACCGGCCGCAAAGCCACTTCTTCTGCCTCGGCGTCACGAACTCGCTCAGCCCAGTGCAGAGCAGCGGGTACAAGGCTGTCACGCCGCTATATGCCTTGGGACTGGTTGGTGCGCCGCACGGGAAAAATGGAGTGGTCGTGCGGTCACCCTGCCAGGTGACAAAGTACGGCACGCTGGCGATCACGTTGGTGACCTCCTCGTAGCCGATGCGCATGGCATCGGTATAGTCGTCGGTCTTGGTGTGGTCGGATGGCGCGCATATCCACCGCACACAGCGGACGATGATCCCGGCGAGCAGAATCCTCGAGGCATTGGTGTTGAGGTGCTTCCCTGCCACCCAGACGTTGGGAAACGTATACAAGGGCCCGGGGAAGGTGGCGGCCTTGTCGAGCCTGTCGTCGGAGACCTCCTTGGCCCACCCTGAGACAAACTTTGGCCAGGTCGGGTGGCAGTTCTCAAGCCAGCGGCCGAGCTCGGTTACTATCTCCCGGGCTCGGCGGAGGAGGTCCAGGGCCTTGTCGATCTTCCCCGCCGTCTTAGGACCGGGCGTGAGGAGAGCGTCGGCTTCCGCCCGGATGAGCGTTGTCTTCATGTTGAGGATGAGATGTGGCCGGACTTGTCGGAGACGACATGTTGGCCCCACCACTCCACGTCGCTAACCGAAGGGTTGGAGACGAAGCCAAACATATTTTGTCGAATCTGTTCACAGGATTAGGTCTCCGACATTCACACAATTATTCGCGAAACTCGTGGTTTTTATGAACCGCCAAGAGCTGAGCGCTGGTACTACAATACATACCGACATTGACCGCACGAGTTGAAACATTTCAAGTCCCTCCGGGGTTGACTCCGTAATAACATCTTTTCCGCGAAGGCGGATGAGCGCTTTTGCACCGTCCAGGTGATTTGACCACCCGGCCATACTCTCGTTGTCACTCGCCAAACCCTTGGTCGCTGTCAGTACATATTATACATGCCGTGTATGTTGAGTAGCAATCCTACCTCATAAAAAGACATCAGAATCGCCGTGGCCAGCGTCGTATCATCCGTGGCGCGTTTCTTGTCTTGTAGTACTTCCTTGAGCTGCACCAGAGCTGTGCTATAGTAGATTTGAGATTTTGGTAGCAGGTGTCTCGAATTCGGCCTTCCGGCCAAAGCCGCCAGTGAGACGGCGGTGAATGCCATCGGGAAAGGTGTTTCCTTGATTCCAGGTGCTTGCAGGATCTTAAGCACGAAGCTGAACAGGCCGGGGTTCTGGCCGGTCGAGAGAGTCAGGACAAAATTCGACAGGAAAAAACACGTGGCTTGCTCGTCGAGTGGCGTTTGCAGTCCCGGACAGACCGGGGCGACGCTTGTCCCCACAGCATTGAAGCTGTCACTGCATCCCCAACTTGAAGTCGTGCCGTCGAAGGAGCGGCTGAAGTCCCAGGACCCAAGAGCCTCGGCAACTCGTTTGATGGGGATCGAGTAGCCTGCTGCCGGCAACGACCATGCCGAGTTGAAGTCGAACGAATTATCCTGGGTCGGCGACGAGTAAGTAAAGTCGAATACTCCGAAGCCGTTACTGAAAGTCGGGGACCTGGAGGACCTGTTTATGCTGGCCACCTGTGAGGACGGCGAGGACCAGGCTGACTGGGTGAGCGTTTCCCACGAGCCGTCGGAGGCGTGCGGCGATCCTCTGCCCCGTGCGAAGCTGCCGCTCGCGGAATGCGTCGACTTGGTCGGGGACTCATCCGACGACGTCTCTCTGTCATCCTGCCGGCTTGTCCTCCTCTGCGCTGCAGCCGCCTTTGCCTTCCTGATGGTCGACTGGGTCTCATCACGCAGGTTGATCTCGAAGGGGTCTCTGTACCCAGGGCACTGCCGTTTGGATTTCCTGCACTTGATGCAGTGTGGCCTTGTCTCGTCACACTTAATTCTGCGGGCCCGGCAAAGCTTGCAGGCCCTGCTCGGATGTCCGGTGTTCACCATGGTGGCCGGAAGTTGGGAAAGAGGGACTCGTAGGAGCGGCTGGACGACAGACGTCGCAAACGCTGTAGGTCAGGTAGGATATATCGGGCAGACCTGCGATCACGAGTCCGATTGAAACTAGATCCTCGCAACCAGCTCCGCGGGCTCGGTTTCTACCTCGTTGAGGATCCTCGGCCCAGAACTGTCTATCGCAAGGCCAATCGGCGCTGCGCGGTGGTGCCAACGTGTCAGACTAAATTTAGGGCGCTGAGCTAGAACGCATGAAACTTCCAGAGAGCTTACGCCAGGCTGATCGGTTTTTTTTTTTTTTTTTTTTTTTGGCACGTCGTGGCAAAGCGCGTACAAGGGCGAAGGGAAAAGACGATTGCAGTAGGTGATGGTGTTCTTCGTGACAGGCCCCGCCAAGCAAAGTGCTCCCTAGTTCCGCCCTGCTCTCGCTCTGGCCGATGCGCTTTGGGTTCCAGGATGGCGGTGGTTCGGGTGGTGGGAAAGTTGTAACCCCAACATCGGTTGAAACAGTCTCAGAGATCCCTCCGCCGCATGTCCTCTCTTGCGTCCGCACCCTTTTGCCTGTGATTCGTCCTGTGTCGTTTCTAGCCGTTGGGAGTCCACCCTAGAAACACGACAGGGTCTGGCAGTTGCGACTAATGAGACCCAGCATTGAATTGCAGACCTGTCAATAAGTCAGCTGGCATGTCTAAGCGGCGGCCAACACGGACGGGGTCCTGAGCCCTGAGCAGAAAACTTCCGCCGATGGCGTTCCCCTACCCGCGCGTAGTGCATCATGCCCAGTCGTCGCCGTTGCAGAATTAAGTTCCATCCAGGAGGCTGCAGAATAGGTCTGCTTTCTACTAGTGCATAGCAAAAGTGTAACACGTTGAATCGTGGAGTGCGAGGCGCAATGAGGCGTCTTCCGAGCCTCTTCCGAACTTCTAATGAGCACTTAAAGGCCTATCCGAGGCAACTCGTGTCAATGACTGCGGCTCTGACGAAGATAATAACCATCTAATAGCTTTCCGTGTCCGCAAGGTCAGGCTTCAAGAGGTTAGCCATCGTCCGTTCTCCGCGGGCTTCGAAGGGCGTAGAATCGGACTGATCTTGATATCGGCCGATCCCGCGCGCCTCTGCCGTAGTTAAAGCGGCCTTGCGAGCTTCTGGAGCGCAAGAAAGGATGACGTTGATGTGCATTGCATTGGCGAGATCCGAGATCGCATTTTGACAACCTGTCGTGACGGCTTGACATGATGCCAGGCTCGAGCTACTTGTGTGCCCGGCGTCAAAGCAACGGCAGGCTGCGTCTAAGAGGCAGAAAATGAGTGGGGGACGTCGGAGCGTTGCCATCTCTGCGATATGGGCGTGTACGGCCAAAGTCTTGTGTGGGCAGGGCTTCTCGCGTGAGATGACCGAAAAGGGGAAAAGTCTTGCGAGAGTGCGCCCACTTCCAAGGCTGGGGCCGTTTGGAGTGAGAGCCGGCCGGACGGAAAACAACCTTGCGCTAACCGTTGCCCGCCCCCAGGGCTGTTGTACTCGCTGGGGCTAAGCTGTTTCGCGCAATTTTCATGCGACTCGTTGGGTTTTACCGTGTGGACGGGAGGAGCCCCGGATGGCTAAGGGACGAGCGAAACATGTTTCTCTGGAGCTTGCAGGCCGCAGCAATAGTGGTCAGCGCAAGCGCTTGTAGACCAACTATCGTCCATCTCGACAGCCAGACATGACGGAGCAGATCGATAAGGTTTGCACTATGATTCTGGGCACCGCCCTTCCTCAGTCCTGACACACGAGGGACACGGAATAGTCGACTGACACAACCCAATTCCGAGTTTGTATGCATTTGTATGCCATGCCATCGGGATTGATATGAGGGCAGCCAAATCCGACGGCCCTTGCTGGCCCGCCATCCAACTCCACCGTTGAGCAGGTGTGGGCTGGGCAAGTCAAGGTAGAACTCCACCGGCGGGCAAGGTGGTGGAAAGTTGGGGTGAATAGCTACGAATTTTACTCCACAAATTTAGGCTTATGTGCCGCGGTATGATCATGATGACCAAGGAAGGCAGGCGGATAAACCGTAAGCCGGCCTGTTGTGGCATTGTGTGGCCACGCTCGGTCAGGACGCGTGGACGGACTTGCGGATTCCTTTGCAATCCCGCAGGATTTGTTGCGACGATAACGTCACATACACGATTCGTATAAATATTCATCGAGTTGGGTGGATGAGATTGGTGGCAGCCGGGAGGCCCCCTCTTTAATAGCGTAGGCTTCGACGGGTGTCCGCCCAAGGCTCACACCGGAGCACTGAGTTACAGGGTCGTCTCCTCGGACTCCTCCACCACCCCACCGGTCGATTGAAACAGGAATGCAGTCACTACATGTTCCGTCTTATCTTCACAGCCCATGGCAACTGGAGTATGCTCGAGAATTCCTTGTCTCGTCCATGTGCCTTCCCTTCTCAGACGTAGGCCCGTCTAATCTATTGATGTGGCTGGACCAGTTGACAGCCGTCGAGAATTTTGGATGGTATGAGTGAGTCAAAGACTTCCTTTCTTGGCAACTTGATTCCGGGAGAGCCGTCTCAGCCTCGCGTCTGTCCTGTCCACCGTAGGCAATGTTGTATGCAAGTGGTCTTGCCTGCGGTGTCCTTTGTAGGTATCATGCCGCATGTAGTCCGCATGTAGGAAAGCATGCGCAAAACTCGAACATAACTGTCCCAGAGGCACTTGGGATGACCTCAGAACCTCCCGTGGATCCGGGAACGTGGAAATATGGTCCTTTGATCTTGGTTAATTGAATACTATAACCCATGCCGAGTATTGCAGCCGCTCCAAAGTTGCAGGAGTTTGTTCCAGAGACTTGATATCTACCGTCACCCGGCTCGGGCTTTCTCACCAGCATCTATCGGCCCATGGAATATTGATCGACGTTAGGATTTGGCTCTTTAATATGAGGCTGGTAACTCTATACCGCGTTATAGCCACAGTGTGCGTCCTGGTGGCGGATCACGGTGTGCGAGGTGACGACGACGACGACGACGACAAGACAGTCACAGTCACGACAACAAGAGCACAGACTCTTAACACCACTTCAGTACGTGTTGAAGCGACGCCTGTTGCCGTTCCGAATATCCCCCCAGCCGCACCGCCACCAGCGATACCAACACCAACACCGTCCACCGGGCCGTCCACTCAACAGAGCACACCCGACTCCAACGATGGCAACTCCACAATGCAGGCGGCTGGTCCGCCAGCGGCGGCCGAGAATCCAGCATCCGGGGGGAGACATGACCCCGGCAATGAACACAGGCGCATCGGCTTCAGAGCCGGGTAACAACTCAGCCCAGCCCGGCTCACCATCCGCGGCGGCCCAGATGGAAGCGCCCAGTGCCAATCAGGCCCCGAGCCGAGCCCCAAATGTCGCGGCAGTGCAGGCTCAGGGCATGAAAATGGAGATAGATCCAGCGGCTGGAGACCTGCTTGGCGGCAACCCGCCCAACAAGAGTGTCGACTTGCCCGTCACGGTCTTCTTCCTACTTCTCTTCCTCCTAGGGGCATTCACACACATCTCAATCTACAGGGCAAACGCGAAACGCGGGCACAAGTTCTTGCTGTCGGATCTCATGTTCGACTTCTGTATGATTCGATCAGTCACATGTATATTCCGGATTGCATGGGTCTTCAGTCAGCTCCGAGGAATCGTTCTAGCGGCTCAGATATTCTTCAATGGAGGGTAAGCTTTTATCCATTACTACCGAACTCTATAAGATTTGGTTTGCTAACTGTCAACCAAACAGAGCGGCTGTCATCTTTGTGGTGAACATATTTTTCGCCCAGCGCATTGTCCGCTCGATGCATCCCGGCGTCGGCTGGTCTGTCCCCTTCAGCCTGGGCACAGTAATCCTTGCCATTTCCGTCCCGCCAGTTATCATCCTGCAGATCACGTCAATCAGTGTGTTCTTCCTCTCCACGGACAACCCGGACCGCGCCGACGCTGCCGTGGCCCTCCTGAAGACCGGCTCATCATGGAACATCTGGCTTGTCTCCTTCCCCTTCCTGGTCACCTTCTTAGCATGCTCCATCCCGGGACCGAAGCCAGAAAAATTCGGAAGTGGCAACCTGAGGGTTAAGACATCGCTGGCCATGCTCGGCGCCGCGCTGCTGGCCACGGGCGCGACCGTGCGGACATATGCCACCTTCAACCCACGCCCTCCAAACAGCGGCGACGTGCTGTACAGCAAGCCGGTCTTCTACATCACGCAGTTCTCGTTTGAGATAATCGTCGTCGCGCTGTACGCGTTTGCCCGGATCGACCTGCTCTTCCACGTCCCCAACGGGTCGTCACAGCCGGGCGACTACTCGGCGAACAGGGCCGCCGACACAGAGAAGGCCGTGGTGCTGTCCCGCGGCCTGATCCGCGACAAGATAGAGGAGACCGGCCTCCACCACCAGATCCTCAAGCCTTTGTACACCTCATCATTCATGCAGACCGGCGCGGAGCCCGTCTTCGCCGTGTTCTACCCGTCAGCCACTGACGCTGCGTCGCTGGTGGGGATGGCGCAGGACATGGCGAACGAGGGCAAGCTGCCCCCGAGGCCGGCGGACAGGGTCAGCCGGCGGCAGTCTGTCGAGGAAGTGTTCAGGTCCACGTCGAGCGCGTCGAGACGGCCTCTGCAGGGTAACTTTGGGCTTCCGGCTCAGCCTCGACCGCCCCGGCCCCCGAGGACGACACAGTCAATGTACCGCACATCTGACGACACGAGCGATTCTCCAACGCCTCCTGCGTATCAAAATTGAACCGTCGGAACTCGGTAATAAACAGGCTGGGGATGCTTCATTGTCCATACTTGTAATATCACAATCACGACAGACCGGTTCTGGTGTTTTGTGCGTTGAGGTTGATCCTTGTAACAATACTGGTGGAGCATAAGCCGCGAGGTCTCTGGAATTCAGCGGCATCTACAGTGCCTGATTATTTAGAATGTACAATCTAGGTATTGATATGTATATCTGTGTATAGTCTATAGTAACTTTCCTCCTCTCATTTACGGATATACACTCGTGATTGGCATAATCTGTGGCATCTACACGCAAGTGAGGACCAGAAGAAGTAGTTGTCCATCCACTCGTCCCGGAGGAGATGGCTTCCACGTCGATACCTAGGTATTGACCTTGTTCGGCGATATGAGCACCCAGAATCACCGAAATTCCGTCTTAAATCCTGAAACGACGTCTTCGTGGCTCAGTTGGTTAGAGCGTTGGTCTCATACTCTGTATGATTCTCTAGAGTACTAGAGAAAGATCCAATCCAAAGGTCGTGAGTTCGAGTCTCACCGAGGACACTACATTTTGCTGTCTCATCGTGGCGATGGCGGCGTTCGGCTGCACCGGATGCACGGGCCACCGGGTCCGCACCCATATTTTGCCCCGAGACCGTCCACCCTCTGTTTTGCTGCAATAATAGACTTTGATTTCATCTGGTGATTGACAATGTTGCTAACTTTTGTGTTTGATGTACCGGTAACTTCATAGTGAAGTGTGATGCAGCCAAGCTTGGCATGGGCCGGCCATGGGGCCGGCGCCTCATGAACACCCTGGTGTGCCCTACCATGACCTGTGGCGTGCAACAGGTCTGCGCTTAACTGGCGGGGAGACTAAGCAATGCCTCATTTATGATGCGAGATTGTGCTGACCTACGCATCTACTCACATGGCAGAATCCAATCAACATGACTTGCTACAGCTTCTTGTTTCCTTATATGGACACGAAAGCTAACGAGTACGTATCATGCGCTCTTTTGGAATACACATACAACCAATGTCCCGGAGATACAGTCTAAAACATGGCTGATCTGGAGCAGCTATCAGCCCCCCCAAACCCTTCAGAACTTTGTAAACATTCTCGCACGCAATGCTCAGCTGCTCACACCCAGAAATCGACCGCGAGACAATCTTAACTCGTTTGAATTCCCAACACCTCCTGCTGCATCCCACTGCCCCTCGCACCCAGCTCACCTCCAGTCATCCTCGTCATACTGGTCCCTCCAGAAGCCCCGGAAGTGCTTCTTAAGTCCCAGGTCCGAGATCTCCTTCACCTCCTTAGACGTGAGCTCGAACGCGGGCAGCTTGCCCACGTATTCCTTGAGCCTATCCTCCCGCGAGCTTGTCGTGATGGCCACGACGCCCTGGTCCAGCGTCCACCGCAGGGCCACATCACCCTCGGTGACGTTGTACTTCTCCGCCAGCCTGGCATACGCGCCATCAACAGGGCCGGGAGCCGCCTTCGTGATAGCAGTGAGCCCGGCGTACCCGCTGACGGCGATGCCCTTCTCGCGGTGGTAGTCGAGCAGCTTCGTCTTGCCGCCGTCGGTGATGTGCTGCAGGTACGGGTGGAACTCGATCTGGTTGATGGCCGGCTTGACCGTCGCCGTCTCCAGCACCGCGTCGAGGTCCTCCTGGATGTAGTTGGATACACCAATCGATTTGGCGCGCCCCGATGCCTGGATCGCCTCCACCTCGGCCCACTTGGCCTGGAGGACTTTGGCGTCGCCGCCTGCAAAGAAGGGCGAGTGGATCAGGTACAGGTCGACGTAGTCCAGGCCCAGCTTCTTGAGCGACGCGGAGAAGTTCTCCTCGATCGGCTTGTCCGCCTTGACGGTCGCCTTGGTGGTGACGAAGAGCTTCTCGCGGGCGATCCCGGATGACTTGATCGCGGCGCCGAGTTCCTCCTCGTTGTTGTAAGCTGGCTCATATAATTAGTTTCTCCGTCTGAAAATGACAGCGGTGTGGGGTGCAGCTTGCCCTCGGCCCCGTCCAGGTGTGTGAAGCCAGCTGACAGCGCCTTCAATGTCACGTCAACAATGCCCTGGTCGAAGTCATCGCCGTTCTTATAATTCTTGGTGCCCAGGCCGTAGGCGATCTATTGTCCGTTGCATTAGTACATGACATGGTCTTGCTGGAGAGCTATGAGCAATGTACCGTGGGAATCTCGTGCCCGTCGTTGAGCTTCAGGCTGGGCAACTTGTGGGCTGAAGATTCTTCATCGTCCTGAAGAGGCCGCTGCAGACCGTCCAGGTTCTGACTGGTCTGTTCCCAGATCGATGCAGCAGCAGCACAGAGTGCTGGGAAAGCCAGCAGGGACAGACGAGGCATTGTCTGAGGCCCGAAGAGCTGCGTACAGATAAATCAAGGCGCCTTGTGCTTCTGGTGGCGAGACTTGGATGACTTCGGCTTATGTTGAGATTTGGGTGCAATTCTGGATTTGTTTATCGAACACCTGCCGAATTATTGATTCTGCTCACGAGCATCATGTCCTAGAAAGATTCTCACGATCTGAAATTGACATCCCTCGGTTTCGTGGTCTGCGGGGCTGGTGACGTGATCGATCTCTGTGGCCGCCCGCATGGTTCAGCGCCCGGGGTTTGTAACCTTCCGTGCTTGTCGGAGAGGATGGCACAACGAACCTTAGAAGTGGGAGCTTGCCCGCTATCATCATGCCTTCACACCAAAGAAGCAGTCGATCCTATAGAAACATGGCTCAATGGGTACCAAACTCCTGATGCCGTCAACTCGGCACCTCCTTTGGCCTCTGTTCTATTTATCGCAGTGGGTACTACCAAGAAAGTCTATGGTCAATTTTTACAGGGGAATAGGACCCTCCCTTGGAACATTGAAGTGGCCCAGGGACCTCGACTTAGCGCCGCCAGGGCCGCCTGTACGACGGAACCCCTCCCCAAGGTTATTTGACATCGCCAGTGCGGCTAGTTTGATCTCCTCCACATCATCAACCCTCAATGCGTGGTGTCAGGCCATAAAACCTCCTCACATTCTCCCTGTTCTTCAATCCATCGCTGAATCTTCTCAACGGGCCATCCACTGGTCATGCGCTCTTTGTCGTCCTGTGGTCTTTTCACCGGCCTGCCTAGCTGGAAGCTCGTTTTCATGCCGCAGCATTCGTTCGCGTGAGTCCATTGGAAGCAATCTACGTGTTCGTCGCATGCCCTGGCGCAGTCGTCGGGACTTAGATGGGCCAGCTTTTGTAACTCGGACTTGTTCTCCTCATTGGTCGATCTGCTGATCCGCCAGTCCTCCCATCGGTGGCCTGAATCCAAGTCGATGTAGTACCAGCCGTCGGAATAGTTGTCCCAGTCCTCGCGCACCGGTATTAGCTTCGGCTCAAAGTACTCGTGGTAGACTTCCTTGAGCAGCAAGGGCTCTTGGGTCTCGGTGTATCGTTTGCGCTCGAACTCCCAAAATTCCGAGACCTCCTCGCTGCTCATATGGTGCATCGTCCCAACGGCGTGGCACCACTGCCTGTTCCCGAAAGGAAACATGGATGGTTTCTCGCCATTGGTTATAGGCCACTGCTCGGAAGATGTCAGTCATAAGAAGCCTGTCAGACAACATCGCATCACAGTAAATTAGGCCACAGCGGGAGCTGAGCTCTCGTCACTTACAAGGCTCTCCACCGTGATACCGATGGTGTCGTTGAGAGAAACCGCCAACATGTAGTCCCCGCAGCACACGTCCCTGACCTTCTGGTCGTATTTGTTCGCGACCCCAGGGTTCTGCCCTACAAATTCCATCATTGCTGCAGTAGAGAGCACATACCCACTGCCGCCATGGGCGAAAGGGTACCCTCCGATTATGGTTGGGCTGCCTAAGTAGCGCGGCTTGGAGGGATCGAGCTTGCGAAGCACCTGGACAAGGTTGGGCCAGCAAACATACGTGTCGGCATCGACGAAGAAGTACCAGTCGTACCCAGGTCGTAGCCTGTGGGCCTTTTCGGCCATGTGAATGTTCTTGTACTTGTCCAGATTCCAACCCGCGTCTTGGGCCCCTTCTAGAGTCTTGGAACACATGTCCTGGTCAATAACACAGTCCCTCTGTTGGCGGTAGAGATCGAAGTCGGAATTGTCGTCCTTGACGGTGTTGAGAACCGTCTCGAGGGTGTCACGGACATGATATCCGGCAATGTGCTGGTCCAGATCAGAGAAGAGGAGGAAATCAGGGAGACATCGGAGGATGGTGATCAACTGAGTGGGCAGTTTGTCGAACGCCTCGGTGGCGCCAGTCTTCATGACCAGAAGGATGCCAGAGGTGTCTGGGAAGCCGTCGCAAATGGGATCGTGATCAGGGCGCAGTGACTGCAGTCCTTGACTGGTGGTTGGTATCGCTACTGGGGTTGGACCGACGCTGGCGCTCTCGGGCGACGCTGTGGCTGTCCCGTTCGAGTTGACATCAACATGTGGGCTGAACTCGCCCGTGTGGTAATGGCCACCTTCACGCTCCCATTGAGGGAGGCGCTTGGCCGTGATGAGGAGAACGACTATGGAGATAAAGCTCAAGAATATGAGGTTGAGAGTCCTATTGAATATCATGGTGAATGGCGGCTGCGATGCGATGGGACGCGACGCGCCAACGAGATATGGCTCGAACCCTTCAGCAGAGGAGGTTCAGGATTCTGGATCCTGAGGTCGCATCTCAGCGACGATCACCTGCACATAGGTTGGCTAGGATTTGGTGTTGACGAGCTGATCAGTGGCAAAAAGACAGAGGAGAAGTGACAGGAGTGACGGGCAGACTGGCCAGGTGGGAAGGGGAGAAGGGGGAGCAACGCGTCGGAGATGGTCAGAGGGATTGACGAAAGCCGTGCTATGACAGACGGCTTGGCTAGCCCCCCGCCTAGATATCTACCCAGGAACGCCGGGCACCTGGCCCAGGTCTTTTAGTATGGCAATCTGTCAGGTTTGCCTGGCATATGGAAGGCGCGTGTCGGGAAAATAGCCCAAGTGCCTCCGTGTCGGAATTAATTGCGGCGTGGCGCGTGGCCACAGTAGGACAGGACAGGACGTGAGGCAAGACACTCGAATATGCCCATGTCCGTGTGTGCATCAAAGTGGCTGAGACCTTAAAAAAGGCCCGGTTCGACCACAATCAGAGTCCTGGGATGGAGAGATGCTGAGGTGGCAGGAACCAGCAAGGTAGGAGGTGGCCGGGGCAATCAACACTGGGTTTGATTACTGGCAGGTGCTCGTGAACCGACACCTGCCACTTTCCATTGCCAGTTTTACCAGCCGATGACCTGCAGCTCATGCATCTTATATGATTTACTAGGCTCCCTGGTTTATTTCTGACAGATCTAGTTTGGCTGTCAAGCAGGTCAAGTAGTCAGCCTCTTGCAAGCCAGACACCGGTTCCTCCCTTGGCTGGATGGCGATCGCCAGCCAAGGGCACAAGGGTGAGACACAGTAAGGGATCACCCAGGCATGCTCGCTACAAGCCTGATGTACCCTCCCCCGTATCTAGTCACCACGTTCCCATCATGTCTTTGCTATCTTGTACCTTGCCTCGCTTGCCAGGGCATCCAGTCCGACTGTGGTGCTCGTTCGCCTCGAATGCCCCCACTCTTCGACAAACTATCGCCAATGCTGTTCCATATCCGTCTTTCCGACTGAATAAATGCCTTAGACATATTAGCAATTGAATGAGAACAAGAGTGGTGTGCGGCAGAGACCAACCAGACTCAACAAGGCAGAGCCATCCCGGCTTTCGCAAGCCGTGGCCCCAGAACTTCCATGAAGACCTTCACTGGGCAGGGCTTTCCACTTGCATCGAGTCGTTTCTACTCACATGTGTGGCAGCACAAGTCTGTTGCGAAAAAAAAAAAAAAAAATCAAAGACTATAAAAGATTAAAGAATTGATCATTCTTCGCTTGTTACAAGAAGATAGTACTAACAGGCTGCGGTTCATCTCCAACATTCTCCCAACGTCAGATCAAGTCCAATATGTGATATGCTGCACTAAGTTCCTTTCTCGAATCTGAGACCGGAATCTCCAATCTCCATGGTATCTGTTCTGTCGTGCCTTGTTCTTTGCCGCTGGCGTGAGCAAGAAAATATTTGCTGCCGGATCTACTTTGCCTTTGAAGCTGTGACAACTTCTACGGTAGGCTCCTCCACGCAATCCTTCCATAACTCCGGATCCTCTTGAATGATTTCTGTCTTCTCAATGGGCACAACTGTGACGTCAACCAGCCCGAACTTCTTGTACATCTGCAGAGACCCAGAGTAAAGAACCTCGAGCGATGTTCCTCCGAACTTGACCGGTGGATCGGTTGCCCACAATGTCACCCAGTACTTTAGTCCTCCAGGAATCTCCTCGAGTCCGGTATAAGAAACCCCGTACTTTTTCCCTTTGAGGGACCCCTTCGGGTTGACGGCATGGACGCAGATAAACTGGCCTCCGGGCTTCAAATGAGCCACCGCAGTCGTAAACATCTTCTCCAAGGTCTCGATGTCCTTGGCATGGTCGAACACCCAATTGGCTTGCACGATGTCATAAGACTCCCTTAGACCCAGATTGGTCAAGTTCTGCGACACATCCGCCTCGAACCACCGGATGCGCTCGCCAAGCCCCTTCTTCGCGGCCTCCTTCTCGCCAACATGGAGCATCTCGGCGGAGATGTCGACCACGTCCACCGAGGCCGCGCCTCGCTCAACGGCCTGCCGGGCCCTGAGGCCAGTCCCACCGCCGAGATCAAGGACGGTGAGACCGGTTGGGTCGCCGAGCGCGGTCAGGTAGAGCTCGGACTCGAGGCGGCCGATCGGCGTGGTGACTGTGAAGGCCTCATCTGCGAACATTTATCATGTCAGAAGGGACTCAGCGCGATGGCATTGCCTCCATGACTTGCCAAAGGCATTATATCAGGGATGCAGCTGTACGTACAATCCGAAGCTACTGTCCTATACTCCTCTACAACATTTGGTCTGGCCATCTTGAGCAAATTGAGTTGAAAAGCGCAGTGCTCGAGTTTCTCGGATTCAAATTGAAATGATATGAACAAGTTCACGACGCGATTTTCTCATCTCAGCAATGATGCGGGGTTGCCTCGACCTCATATACCCGTGTTCGATTAAGTTTGAGAATGCTGACTGCATGTTCAACACCAAGATGATTGGGACGACTATCTTGGTTGTAACGTTTCACACGCGCTTGCTGTTGGCCCCCACAGGTCTGAGCTCTCGGGTTGGTTCATTGTGCCATCAATCGACCAAGAAGACTAGGACATAATACGAACGCTGGTATCACGTGTGCAGCTTGGTATAACATTGCCATTCGGGATTCGGAATTATCACTGCTCAGACTGTCCCATCGAACGTATTCAATAATGGAGAATGGAACTTTTTATGATCTACTGTCTCAGAGCTATTCCTCATCGGCTCATTGATCTGCTGGGAATTTGTCCCAAGCAGGTCATCCACGGCAGCACAGGTTTGGGTGGTGAGGTGTTCGGTACCTTTCATGTATCACAGTATAGAACAGTAATAGTATAGTGAGGACTTGTGGTCCTGTGTCGATTCGTTGAACCTCAACCATGCTGTGGAGAAGCGGCGTTGATACATATGCATGTAACTTCATCCCCTCGATTTTGTGTAACAATCGCAATCTTAGTCTCACGAGCTGATTTATAATCTCGATTGGACCTTGATATTCATTGGCTCGATCCAGGATTGCAATTTGGGAGCACTCCTTCGAGTATTTTGGTCAAGGCGCCATCATGCCGGATACCGGAGTGTGAGAGTGCTCGTCGTCAAGGTACGACCACGCGAATATAGACTGGTCCCCCGTCCTCTGCATGATTGCTTTTTGCAGAAGCGAAAACGCTTTGGTGTCTCCACCAAATACTGACATCAAACAACTCCATAAGGCGGTAAGCCGCATCCTCCAGCCGCGTGGTCTGGCAGGAAGCGGCTCAATACACCTGCACAACACAGTGCTCGCCCCCGAGACACCCTTGTAACATCTTCTCCCTGATACGAGTGACACGAGACACAACTATCCGCAGCGAGTTCTTTGTACCGATCTCCGACCAGTCTGAGACAAGAAAAACGACCTCGGATGCTACCAAGAGCTCTTGCATAAACGTCATGTCCAGCACAAGTTTTGGTTGCAATACGGCATTGTGCAATATCGAGAGGAAGCAGCCCCAGGGAAGGCCTAACGGTAATGAAACGGGCGAAGCAGGCCTAGTGGCCTGGTTGATAGACCACAAACATACGTTGTATTATCAACTAATGAAACCCAACAAATAGGAAACAGGAAATAAGAATTAGGGAATACGGAACACGAAGCACAAAATAGGAAACAGCAAAAGCCTTTCAGTTCTCCATTATCAGTGTGTTTTAATCCAATCAATCAATTAAAGGACTCGGAGTACTTTCACACGTTTGGTTTCTGATATTTGTCAAACCTTGTTAGAGACTGTCCAAACCCTGGATAGACCCTCCGTATTCGTATTTGTACAGTGCCTACCGGAATGATCTTCCGGGGCAACGGGTTTGATAACCTGCTGGTCGTTTTGGTCGAGCCCACATGGATGGCCCTCAAACCCGGTCAACACCACGGAGTTAGTGGTAAGGAAGTTCCGACACATAGGGGTTGTTCACATGCTCCTGGGCCATGCAAACTCACAAAGGACCCAGAGTCGTACCAGATCGATTTAATCCCGTGGTATTAAAATAAGAAGTCTTCTACCATGACTTCTGTCGATGATTCATCGCACGACGCGGACTTAGTTCAAGCCCTCACTCCGTAGTAGATAGTAAAGATAAACAGCTGGATGTGCCGAGTGAAATGCTGGATGGGCCAAGTACGGCGGCGTTACAACTGCGAAATGCCAATTCTTGGTTTTTGGGCGTCGAACAGGCAGTGACAAATCCGGGTAGCATTGTATATAAAATAATAATCGCATCCTTCTGCCGTAACAGGAATGCCAAGTTTGCTCACCGGGAGGAAATAACGAAGACAACCTACGACATCAAGCCGAGGAGGCTGGGCAGTCTCGCCAGTCAGAGCAAGTAAGCCGCTCATGGGATGCGTGGCTCCATGGAGACGGGGTTGGCGACGCAGGATCAGGGGAAGAGGTGTGGAGTGCACACCCCGCGACGCTCGAGCCGGAGAGAAAGAGGGGTCCGCCCCATGCGTTCATCACGAAGGAAAAAGGCGCCGGAGAAGATGGTGCAAGATTAAGATTAAGCTTAATACCTGTTGTGGGCCGATGCTAGCACCTTGGCTGACCGGGTCTTCTTCGCCGCCCCTGTGCCAGCAAACATGGAGGCAGAGGGACCCCATCCGGCTCAAGTCATGTCTTGACCAACATTGGGTTTCGATTTGGGATGTAATTGCGAACACTAACTTCTTCTGAGGAAATTCCCGTCATACCATACTCGGGGGTACACGGCTGCATACCTCTAATCCCGACCCCCCAGGGCACATGCTCAGTCGGAGGCAACTTCGTCGCCTCTTTTCCTTTTGACAAACGTAGAATCTTCGAAAAATGCAAACCATGATCAGGAATCCAGACTTGTGTTCCCCAGTCCAATCGGAGATTTCTTGGGGGGGGGGGAGGTAAAAAGCAAGAAAGGCGAGTAAAAGTACAATACTGGCTTGGCGTGTGAATCCATCTCTTGGCTTTGGCACCGCAGTGTGCTAACGTCTTGCAAAATGTACTTCCGAGGACGTTGAACATACGTCTCCCTCTCTTTCTCTCTCTGGAACGTCGCTGTTGTCATCGCTGTCGCGGGCACCGTCGTGCGGTCGCGATTGGGTGTGTATCGTAATCTCAGTCGTCTTCGTGGGATAAGCGTTCGGCGCAGGCGCGACATGATTGATCTCTCCTTTCCCAATGCGAATCTCATACTCGGGCTCATCAGCTACTGTGAAGTGCCTCGAGCGCTCGCCGTTGAACGTCTCCAGCGCGACGCCGTTCCCGTACCCGCGCCTTTGGCTGCGCGTGTAGACGCTGCTGTTCGAGGTGCCGCGCGTGAGGTTGACGAGTTGGTTGAGGATGCTGAACTCGAGCTTGAGCTTGATGCTGTACACCAGCGGCTTCCAGGCTGTCTGGATCTCGAAGAGGTTGGTGAACTCGAGGGCCAGGATTGACACGTCGAGCAAGACGACCAGGACATTTACCCAGATCAGGTGGTTCATGATCTTCCGGGTGCGCGTGTCGCCGATGCTTTTCTCGAGGCGAAGACGTTTTGTTGTTTCCCAGACGTAGACGGAAGAAATTATGAGTTCTTGCACAAAGAAGACGCTGAGTTGGACTTTTTCAAAGATAACGTAGGGGTTGCGGAACGGCTCCGGATTTGCAGAATTAACTCCATAAACCAGGATGATGATGGGGAGATGGAGCCAAGTTGCGTTGGCGATGATCATGTACAGCACCAGTCGCAGGCGCTTCTGGTGACGCATAACGATATGCAAACGGGAGTATAAAACAACCGACTGGCCCGTGACCATGGAGCACCAGCCGATCAGAATGATCGTGGCATAAATAAGCGCCTCCGTTGTTAATGATAGGTGCATCAAGAGGTATCCCGTGCCATTGAATGCGATGCCCCACGTCGCGATGAGGATGCTCCAAAAGTATAAACCCGAGCGCGTTTTGAACGAAGTGAAGATTGAGACAGTGAGCTCAAGAACGTTATAGAAAGCGATACTAATGAAGACGCAGATGACGATTGCGACAACGATCCTGTCGGGGTCGGGGCCGATCTGTGCCATGGTTGCTGGCTGTCTATGACAAGACGATGGGATGGCGCAACGTGTCTAGCAGGACGCAGGTTGACCAGAGATAGAGGCGGTAGATTTGGAAAACCAAAAGTGGCGAAGAATCGATCTTTGAAGAGGAGCTGGCATTCAAATGTCTTCGTTCAGTCCGTGTGGTCGTTCAGGTTGCGTTTCATGGCGTCCCTACCGACACATCCTGAAGCCGCAGGACTTACAGGAGATACGAAGCCGCAGTCCCGGGACCTCCGTCACTACCATGTCGCGAAGTAACATCTTGGCATATACCCTCGCTTTATGAATGCCGTGGCCAGTATTAAGTGCATCAAACCCGGAAGACGGACAAGTTGCCAGAAGCAGCCAAATCTGCGAGTGCCAAGGGGAAGTCGCCGGCATAGGAACACAACCTCACAGTAGCCAAGATCCGGACTGTAGTTTCTCGATAAGCCTCATTAGTATTCTATCTCTTCCTCCTTAAGCCGCATTGATCGATGGTTCATCCCATTAATTTTAACATGCCGACCGCCGCGGCTTTATAATTTCAATGCAGCAAGGATTCGGGACCCGGCGGATCTTGGCTGTGGCATACAAAGCCCTCCGCACCCAACTTTTCTAGAATTTTGCCTTCGCCTCGTCCCATCAAACACACTCCTAGAAATTCCAAAATGTCGTTCGCTCTAACTTTGCTATCTGCGGGGTGTCTTATGCCCTTCGGAATTAGCCGTGCTGCCGGGGTGCCTCCTGCCAAAGTGCCTGCTGCAGCTCAGCTCGTTGACTGGAGGAGCTTCAATGTCCTTGCGACCGTGCCCCCTCCAGCGGAGGCGGACGATTCGACGGTATGTCACTCCCATTCCCATGTGACTGGCTGTTGCTTGCTCATATGTAGATATTTCTTTGGCCTGGTGTGACTCTAGAATCCCTCCAAGCCAGGCCCTTCCACATCTACGACAACGAGTTCTACGATGTCATTGGACGGGATCCTTCCCTGACACTCATTGCTACTTCCGATACTGACCCTATCTTCCACGAGGCTGTTGTGTGGCACCCTCCTAAAGACGAGGTTTTTTCGTCCAGAATGCTGGTGCTCCTGCAGCAGGCACTGGTTTGAACAAGTCCTCCATCATCCAGAAGATCTCACTTGCAGAGGCCGAGGCTGTACGCAAGGGTGAAAGGGACAACGCGACCGTTACGGTAGTGCCTTCTCATCCCCAGGTCATCAACCCCAACGGTATGTCACTTCATCTTATACTTGGAAACATCAGCTCACGGCCTACTAGGTGGCACGAATTACAAGGGAAACATTGTCTTTGCTGGAGAGGGTCAGGGTGACGACATCACCTCCACGATGTTTCTCATGAACCCCGAGGCTCCATTTAACACCACAGGTGAGTTCGGCTAATCTAGAGAATTGTCCTTGTAGCTCACATGCATGCTTCAAGTCCTCTTCAACAACTATTTCGGTCGCCAATTCAACTCGCTAAACGACGTGGTCATCAACCCCCGGAATGGGGAACTGTATTTCACCGATACCCTATACGGCTTCCTGCAGGACTTTCGCCCTCCTCCCGGCCTGCGCAACCAAGTCTACCGCTACAACTTCGAGACCGGGGCCATCGCAGTCGTCGCTGATGACTTCACTCTACCCAATGGTGAGACTGGTGCTCACTCGCTCCCTGTGGAACTGGCTGACAACTGAGGTCTCACCTTCTCACCCGATGGCAAGAAGGCCTACGTCACCGACACCGGCATTGCTCTAGGATTCTATGGCCGCAACCTCTCGTCTCCCGCCTCTGTCTACTCTTTCGACGTGAACGAAGACGGCACTTGGGAGAACCGCAAGACTTTCGCCTACACTGCTTCTTTCATCCCCGATGGTACCTTCTCTGCCCATTCTTGCTCTTCACAAGCTAACTCTTCATAGGTGTTCACACTGACTCTGCTGGCCGCGTCTACTCTGGTTGTGGCGACGGCGTTCATGTCTGGAACCCCTCCGGCAAGCTTATCGGCAAGATTTACACCGGCGCTGTTGCTGCCAATTTTCAGTTCGCTGGAAATGGCCGGATGATCATTACTGGGCAGACAAAGCTGTTTTACGTTACTCTCGCTGCTTCCGGCGTGGGGATACAGTAGCTGCAGGATACATCACTGCCTTGTTGGAATATTCCAGGCTAGGAGCTGATCATAAACACGGGACATCTTGAATTCTACGGGATGCATACTTTGCTTTAGAATTTATTTAATAGAGGGCTCCCGCCCGCTCACAGCCATGGTTAGCCTAATAGACAAAGCATTCTTCACCACGAATCCAAGATTTCTCGAGTAAGCTTGGCTTCTCGTGTCGATTGACCAACCACCGGCGGAACATTAATCAATGAGTTCGTCTTCTCACACGCGTTTGTGCTACATGCGATCCACAAGCCGCTGCCCAGTCCAACGTTCTGCAAGATTCTTTCTAATCTACCGCCTTTACGCCCTCGGTACTCGGAGGGATAAAAACGAAAGCACATCTAGGTAATTTAAATATGATGTGCTAGCAAGCAGGATCATGGAAGCCCATTCATCCCACTCGAACTTCGTCCAGGACAGAGATGCTCGCCCATGTAAATCACACCACCTTCGCTCTGACATTGCTGGTGCTCTTAGGGAACGCCCCGAAAGTCGTAGTAGAAGGCGACGTCGCGCTCATACAGTGTATCATGCAGCTCCATATCGAAGCCAGCCGACGGAGCAAACAGGCGTCCCAGGGTCAGGTAAATCTCCATGTTTGCCACGTCCACCCCGATGCAAGAGCGTGGCCCGCGCCCGAAGTTGTTGACGTACTTGCGCAACCGCCTCCGGTCATCCTGGTCAAGCCAACGCTCCGGCTCGAATGCTTGAGGATTGGGAAATATGTCCGGGTTGAGGTAGATGTCATACAAGGAAATAGAGACGTGAACGCCCCTTGGGATGACAGTGTCTCCGTACCTCATGTCGTTGTTAGGGTCGTATCTGGGCAGACGACTCGATACGGGGTGATTCAGTCGAAACGCCTCCAGAATAACGCCAGTCAGATACGGGAGTTCGCGCAGCTCCTGAAAGCTGGGAAGCCTTCCGAGCCTCTTCTCACACTCTGCCAGTTCTCCCCTGAGCCGAGCGAGCTTTTCCGGGTATTTCAGCAACATGAATGTCGCGAAGGTCATGAAAACACCTTCTGTCTCGATGCCCGCGTTGATGATGAGCCAGACCTCATCTATCACACGCCTCATCGTCTTCTCATCTGGAGGCAGGTTCGAGTTCAGAACATGCTGAACTGCATTTGTAAATGCAGCTGGCGATTCTTCCCCCGTCATCTTGTCGTCACGTATGCCGGCCTTCTTTTCGCCCGCGGTTGCAGTTGCTGCGAAGTAGTCGTCTGTGATGGCCTGCATAATCATCTACTCGCAGGGCACACGATCAATTCAAGATTCTAGCCGCGACACAAGTCGGATTCAGGATTTGAGGGCCGTGAATACTTACGTTCCTAAAATGCAGAATGCGTATGGTGCCAGGACTTGCAGACTCCACACCTTTGGCCCAGCGTGCGGGTGCCCGCAATACCTCGAAAAGCCAATGACCTACTTGGCGTGTGATCATGTTCATACGCCCGAAGGGCCGTCCGACCATGAACATTTCATTCTCGAAGTCACCGACGTCCACGAAGCCAAAGTCACGGCCTAGACTTGTGGTACACGTCACATCGATGGCTAGGCAGCGAAATGCATCTCCTACTGTAATGGTTCAAAATTGTCATAATTTAGCAACTGGAACTGACTGTTTGATGGTAATAGAGTGGGGGGGGGGGGGGGGGGGGGGTGAGGGCTATCTTACAAGTCACAACAGCGTCGGTACCCTTGAAGCCTCTGAATCTACTAATCAACTTGTGCACCAACTCCTCGTATACCTTTTCACGAGACATGACGATAGGAGTCGCGAAAACAGGCAGCAACGCTTCGCGACGCATGCGATGGAGCTCGTGGGGACTATCCCAAGCAACGAGAACAAGAGTCAGCCATTGTTGGGAATGAGCGAAGGCTCTTGCTGCCCTGTTTGCTTACCCAGCCTGTAAGACAGTGCCTGGTGGGCCTTGAGACCGGTAGAACCAAGCCGGCTTGGACGCTTTCGCCTTCATCTTGTATGCTTCGCTCCATTCCGGGTCCCTGATGTGTACTTCCCATGGATTAATACGCACGATGGGTCCTGATACGTTGATTAGTGTGCTTCTCCCCATCACAAGGCCATGCGCCTGGAGCTTGTGCTTACCCAGAGCATCATGAATGCGGTTTATCTCAACCCAGTATCGACCGCCACCTTCTTTGAAAATGTCGAAATAGGCCTCATAGGCAAAGGTGAGGGCAGCGAGAGTCGGGCCTGGAAAGCGAGCAATCGGACTTAGGAACAAGCGATAGACGGCAGCACCAACTACAAAAATGGTGGCCGACAGAAGCACCGCACTTGACCAAGAGAGGCCCGACAGTGAACTGATGATCTGTCTGAAATCCATATCTCTTGTCATGCCGGGGCTTCTGGCTGCTCTCGATCTCTCTTCCTACTTCATCTTGCTTACCATGAAAAGCTGGTTGAAGAGAGGGGCCTTGTGTAATAAAACAGGCCAGTGATGAGGCCCAGAATAAGCTACCCACATATCTTTTTTTTGGGTCTTACCACTTACCTTTACTCGGCTGTCTAGCTGTTGATTCCTTTACATACTGATAACCCATGACCTGTCCAGCGAGTCGTGCTGCAAATAATGGCCCCCTCATGACCTGCTTGGCGGCTCTATCACGGCGGACGAAACGGGCGCATAAAAGCACAGAAATAGTCTCCTTGTGGAATTAACGCACCCCGCCGGAGGAAGAATGCACTGAGGGTCTCCTATCCCGGGCTCAAAGTTGAGGCCGAGAACAAGGAATTGGGAGACTTTGGCTGCGGATCACAATGAGAAAGAAGACTCATGTTGTTACACCGCCATGAAAAAAGAGTCAGTTTCTGATCTGGTTTCAAATACGGATGCCATCAAGGGATAAGTTGGACAAAGTTTAAATCTGTTCTTAAGCTTTTGGGCCAGGGGCTACAAGTGGAGCGGGCCGGCGACCACGATTAATACTCGTTTATACTCTCATATGCAATCAATCGTTCCATTTTAGCGCTAACAACCTGCATTTAACACCTTACACCTTTTTTATATGCACTTTTCAATTTAGCTTTAATTAATTTAAAACATATGCCATTCTTTTAGAATGGTTTTGTATCCCGTCCGAGGAATAAGCTTTAATAATCATCTCCCATTAAAAAATATTACTTTTTTCTTATAGAAAACTAACTATATGAGAATATTCTTTAAGTTTTTCTCTATATAATGGTTCTGGTTGCATAATTTAAAACCTTAATTTGTTAGAGAAATAAATAGAAATATAAAGGTTAAATGTTAAGAATTAAGATAGCTTTTTATATAAACTCTTAACAATGCTTAAATCTTTAAATTTAATGCTTTTAATTGGCTTTTTTTCCCCGTATGCAGGGTAAGCTAAGATAATGATAAGCGATAAGCGATAAGCGATAAGCAATAAGCAATAAGTAATAAGTAATAAGTGATAAGCGATAAGCGATAAGCAATAAGTGATAAGCGATAAGCGATAAGCGATAAGCGATAAGCGATAAGCGATAAGCGATAAGTGATAAGTGATAAGCGATAAGCGATAAGCGATAAGTAATAAGTAATAAGGAAAAAAGGGAGGGAAATAAAGGGAGGGAGAAAGGGAAATAAATAAAGAAATAAATAAATAAAGAAATAAATAAAGAAATAAATAAGAAAGTAAATAAATAAATAAATAAAGAAAGAAAGAAAGAAAGAAAGAAATAAAGAAATAAAGAAATAAAGAAATAAAGAAATAAAGAAATAAAGAAATAAAGAAATAAAGAAATAAAGAAATAAATAAAGAAATAAAGAAATAAAGAAAGAAATAAAGAAAGAAATAAAGAAAGAAATAAATAAAGAAATAAATAAAGAAAAAGAAAAGAAAGAAAGAGAAGAAAGAAAGAAAAAGAAAGAAAGAAATAAAAGAAAGAAAAAAGAAATAAAAGAAATAAAAGAAATAAAAGAAATAAAAGAAATAAAATAAATAAAATAAATAAAAATAAAAAAAAATAAATAAAATAAATAAAATAAATAAAATAAAAAATAAATAAAATAAATAAAATAAATAAAAAATAAATAAAATAAATAAAATAAATAAAATAAATAAAATAAATAAAATAAATAAAATAAATAAAATAAATAAAATAAATAAAATAAATAAAATAAATAAAATAAATAAAATAAATAAAATAAATAAAATAAATAAAATAAATAAAATAAATAAAATAAATAAAATAAATAAAATAAATAAAATAAATAAAATAAATAAAATAAATAAAATAAATAAAATAAATAAAATAAATAAAATAAATAAATAAAAAATAAATAAAATAAATAAAATAAATAAAATAAATAAAATAAATAAAAAAAAAATAAAAAGAAATAAAAGAAATAAAATAAATAAAATAAATAAAATAAATAAAAGAAATAAAAGAAATAAAAGAAATAAAAGAAATAAAAGAAATAAAAGAAATAAAAGAAATAAAAGAAATAAAAGAAATAAAAGAAATAAAAGAAATAAAAGAAATAAAAGAAATAAAAGAAATAAAAGAAATAAAAGAAATAAAAGAAATAAAAGAAATAAAAGAAATAAAAGAAATAAAAGAAATAAAAGAAATAAAAGAATTAAAAGAATTAAAAGAATTAAAAGAATTAAAAGAATTAAAAGAATTAAAAGAATTAAAAGAATTAAAAGAATTAAAAGAATTAAAAGAATTAAAAGAATTAAAAGAATTAAAAGAATTAAAAGAATTAAGAAATTAAATAAATTAAAATAAAAAAAGAAATACTTTAATTTATAATATCTTTTTAAATAAAGAAATAAAAATATATAAAAGTAAATAAGATTAATAAGATTTAAATTTAAAACTTTAAATATTAATATTATTAATATTTAAATTTTATTATTAAATTATAATTCTTATAACTTAATATATTTTATTTTATAAATTAACTTAATTTTTATTATAAAAATAAAGCTTATAATAAATAAAATAAATAAAAGCAATATAATAATATATATAATATATATATATATAAAATATAATATATAATATTTATAAAATATAATATATAATATTTATAAAATATATATAATATATTATATAAATATCTTTATATAAATATTTTTATATAAATATGTTTATATAAAGTTTTATTTAAAAAAGGTTTAAATTATTATAATTAAAAACCTTTTTTATATATTTTTATAAAAATATAATAAAATATTATATATATATATATATTATATTACTTACTTTATAAAATAATAAATTTAATATTTAAATTTAATTTTTAAATAAAAGTAAATAATTTAATAATTAAATTATTAAATAATTAAATAATTAAATAATAAATAATTAAATAATTAAATAATTAATTATTAAATAATTAAATAATTAATAATTAAATAATTAAATAATTAAATAATTAAATAATTAAATAATTAAATAATTAAATAATTAAATAATTAAATAATTAAATAATTAAATAATTAAATAATTAAATAATTAAATAATTAAATAATTAAATAATAATAAATAATTAAATAATTAAATAATTAAATAATTAAATAATTAAATAATTAATTAAATAATTAAATAATTAAATAATTAAATAATTAAATAATAATAAATAATTAAATAATTAAATAATTAAATAATTAAATAATTAAATAATTAAATAATTAAATAATTAAATAATTAAATAATTAAATAATTAAATAATTAAATAATTAAATAATTAAATAATTAAATAATTAAATAATTAAATAATTAAAATAATTAAATAATTAAATAATTAAATAATTAAATAATTAAATAATTAAATAAAAATAATTAAATAATTAAATAATTAAATAATTAAATAATTAAATAATTAAATAATTAAATAATTTTTAAAAAACTTTTAATTAATAAAAGATTTAATATTTAATTTCTTTTTTATACTTTTATATATATATAAAACTTTATAATTAAGTAAATATATTTTTATATTAAAAAGATAAAATAATTATAATTAATATTTAATATTATTAATTTAGCTTTTATATAATTAATAATAAATAAATAAAGTATATAATTAATTTAGCTATAATATAAAAGTTAAATTATAATAAAGTTATAACCTTTCCTTATTTAATTATAAGTTAATTATAATAATCCATATATAAAATATATAATTATTAATTAATAACTAGCTAGCATTAATTAATAGTTATTATTAATAAAATTAATTTAAACTTTATATCTTTAAATTTATATATTACTTATAATATACTTATTATATAAGCATGCTATATATAATACTTATATATATTATTTTTATATTAATAATCTTTTATATATATATATATATATATTTTAAAATTATGCTTTTCCTTTAAATTATTATTTAATTAATTAAATTACTTAATTAATATAAATATTTTATTTTTTAAGGGGTTATAAAGAGCTAAGTACTTTATAATTATTACTTTAAAAGTTTAAGTATAAGTATTTAAGTATAAATATTTAAATATAAGTATATTTAAATGCTTTAAATACTTAAATTGCTTAAATTATTTAATTATTAATACTTTAAAGCTTTAAAGTATTTAAATATTATTTTTTAATTAATTAATTATTACTTTAATAGCTTTTTTCTTTTTATTATTAAGTTAATTAAAGTATTTAAGAAATAAATTAAGTTTAAGTTAATAATTATTATTATTATTATATTTCTTAATAAAGAAAAGGTTATTATTATTATAAGGCTTATATTAAAAGCATTATTAATTAATAAAAAGATTATAATTAATAAAAATAAAAAAGTATTAACTTTTTAATAATTAGCTTTATAATAATTAACTTTATTTTAATTAATTTAAGCTTTTTTTTCCTTAAAAAGCTTTTATTAATATTTATATATTTTTAATTATAAGTAAAAAGTTATTATTATAAACTTTTTTTAAGATTATTAAAGCAATTCTTAATTATTTAATTAAGCTAAAATAATTAATACCTTTATTATTAATATATAATTATATTTTATATATACTTTATAATAATAAAATATTTATTTAAGCTTATAAAAAAGCTTTTAATTAATCTTTTAAAAGTATTTCTTTATTTATTTATAAAACTTATATTAAAATTTATTAAAAAGATCTTTATTATAATTTAAATAATTTTTAAAGCTTTTAATTATATTAATAACCTTTTCTTTATTAAAGAAAGGGGTTATTATTAATATAAATGTTATTATTATTAAGTAAATTTTATAATAATTAATTATAAAATAAAAGGAAAGAAAAGAATATTTTTATATTATATTTATAAATTAATAATTAGCTTTTAAATTATTTACTTATAAGTAATAATGCTTAAATATTATTATTACTTAATAAATTAACTTTTATTAGTTTTAAGGTAATTTATACTTAAAATCTTATTAAAAGGTATTAATAAATAAGGCATTAAAAAAAGAAAAAGTTATACTTATTAATTAAATATTAATTATTATTAAAAGGTAAATATTTTAAAGGTTTAATTAAGTTATTTATATAATTAAACTTATAATAAATCTTAATTATTCCTTTTAATA